ATCCATGATGTTGACGTCATCCGTGCTGGCCAGACCCGCACTTGTTGTCATTCGTCGACGTCGTCTCGTTAAAATTGGGTTACCTTGTTGGATCAGGTCAATCCAACAACCCGCGCGGATCGGTCTGGGTTAGGAAACCTTACCCATTTACAAAATTGGTCGGGTTGAAGTTGACCCCTTTTTTTAGTAGGATCAAAATGGGTTGGACCCAACCCAGACCGTTGACCCGTTTTGACACCCCTATCCATGATAGTGCATCCACAGCCTTATTCTCCAATCCTAGGCAATACTGAATCTCAAAATCATATCCTAACAACTTGGACAACCACCTCTGATGTCCCTCAGTCACCATCCTCTAGTCCAGTAGAAACTTCAAACTCCTCTGGTCTGTTGATGTAGGCAAAAACTTGCCTAATGGTGTTCCCATGCTAATTTTTAATTCCAAATAATTGTTCCTTTGATTTGCTAGTTTTCTTTGGATATTTGAGCATTTAATGGTGGGTTGAATTTCTCTTATTGGGCTTGGCCCAACTTTCCCTCGGTTGTTGGTGTTCTGGCTGCTTGGTTCCTGGGCTGGTCGTGCCTCTTTCTTGGTGATTTCCCATAAATTATGGTTGCTCCTATTGGAGGCTTTGGCAGCACCTTTTGGGGAATATTTGGATTCCTTTTTCCCTATTTATAGGGGGTTGTTTGTTATTGTTTTTAGAGTGATTTGAGAAGAATTTTTGGAGCATGAAACATGTGGGTTTCGAATAGCTTGTGAGCTATCCTTATGGACCCATTATATCTTTTCCAGTTTTTCAAACTTTTATATATAAACTAATTTTTATAACAAATCTTCTTATTTTGTCATTTTCATGCACATTTTAATTCTATCACTAATTATTTTTACTACTATAAGCTTTTCTTATTAAAACACTAAGCATACATTTGCAACAATTTTAAATCACCTGTTATTTTTTCTCACATAATATTAACTTTCTCATGCACAATCAAAATCTTAAGATCCTGAATCTTAATCTCAAAAATATTTTTGTTGGTATTCTTTAAATGCCCATATCTAATCCTAGGATAATATTTTATTTTATTTTTTATATTTTGCTCCTTCATCTTAAAGTCTAAAACTAATAAGTGATATTGTGTATATAAACTTTTACTCATAATAACTTTAAAATCTTTGCAATCTTGATCTATTTTTCTTATAAGAAAATAATCTATTTGAAATTTACTATAACATTCTTATAAGTGATAAGATGCTCATCTATTTTCTTAAATAAGGTATTAGCAATTATAAAATCATAAGTTAAAGCAAAATCTCATATTGTAATACCACCTCGCTCCAAACCCACATCCACCAGAAATGATTTTAAAATCTTTTATCACTCTACCAATGTCTATTTAAATATTTTCCAATAAAAATCCTTCTTCAATAGGTATCATTTGTATTAATTCTTCTACGTTATTCCAAAATTTTAATTTTGAATACATATTCAAATCTATTTAATGAGCATAAGCACTTATAATATTAAATATTTTAGCATCAACAACAATTTTAAAAAATTATAATTTTATCTCTGATTTTATTAAATTCTATAGCATTATCCTTCAAATTTTTCTTTATAATCACACTTACATCCTTTCTAATAAAACTCTCAACTGAATATCATAGTTTAAATCCTAAACTATCAATCTCCTCAGCTTTCTCTGCAACCCATTTAAGTTTCTGAATATATAGAATGTTTATCTTCCTAGGAATCATAATATCTATTAATTTCATTAAATTGCATGTAAGAGAACCTATATTTCAAGTTCTTATCATAATTCTAGTTTCATGGACTAGCTTATTTTCCTACATTCATCCATGATGTGGGAACTCTTGCTAATTTAACATTGCATCTGGGTGCCGATGCAGCAGACCTTGCACTCTTCTCCCTGTATTCAGGACATACATGGACATACAACACGTCATTTTCAAGGAACGCTATAACATTAACACAATATATTAAAAGATTCATATCATGATTATTCAATGAATTTTATGCTAATTGTCAACTACCTAACGCAACCCTCCACTTTTCTCATTCAAGTCTTGTACGCATATAAAATGTTGGCGGTATATCAGGAGTAAAAGAATATGAAGATGAGAGATGAGTGTGTATACATGTTACTTTTAATATCAGATTAAAACCACCAAAAATAGGGAAACAAGCAATGTATCATAGACATGCATGCATCCATAAAAGAACAAGCGAGGTGATTGTGGACCGCGACATATTCGAGCAAGGTTTTCTACACAAATATGATAAAAGATCAAGCATAAACACTAAAAAAAAATCTGTATTTTTTTTTCTCTAGTCAGAATTCATACTTGCTCATTTGCGCTTTCTACTAACGTTGTATTTCTAGCTTAAGTGTTTGTTGATATATCTACTAAAGTTTTATGCCTACAAAAGTAGATTAAATGAGCATCGAAGGATTAAAAATGACAAGTTGTTGACCCAAGATAACATGAATTTTTTTATTTTTTTTGAAAAAAAATTACAAATAACAGACGTCTCTTGTTGCACGCTATAGAGTGAATGAAAAAAGAAGATTCTCCAAGCTGGTCCCAAATATGTTGGATAAGGCTAATGACTATGATGCTGATCCAGCTAAATTGCATTAACATTCTATTCTACCTCACAACAGCGCATTAGTTCTAATTCTGAAAAAGCTAAAAAATCCATTTGTCAATTCTTTATTAATGTTTAATGATGTCCAGATGTTTTAGTATTTTCCACACCATGAAAGCATGGTATTGTGAAATTTTTAACAGCAATATTAATACGATTTTAAACAGAAAAATCTCTTCATTTTAGATTGTTGTCAACAAAAATAAGCCTTTTACCTCACTGCATGGGGTCTACTACATGAAATGTTTTCCTCCATTGTGTTCTATTAAAAGTCAATTTTTTATTTAAATATTATAAAAATGTTTTTTTTTTAACTTTATAACCAAGTCTTTTTGTCTACCTCTATATTTATTAACATAGGTCAGACATAATATTTATGCTCTCTTAACAAGGTCATCGAAAGACTAATGTTTTATGTAACCAAACAATCTAAGACGACTCACTCTAAACTTATCTGTCATTGGAGCTACTCCAACCTTTTCACGTACATTCTCTTTTTGCATTCTGTCTCTAAGTGTAAAACTAATCATTCACCTGAGTATCCTCATATCTACAACAACCAACTTAATTTTATGCTTATCTTTTAATGGCCAATATTACTCATCATAAAGCATAAAAGATCTCACCGCCATCTTCTAAAATTTTCCATTAATTTTGAGGGGTATTTTTCTATCACACAATAGGCCCAATGCATTTCTCAACCTCAACCATCCAACTTGAATTCTACTAATAATATCCCCATTTATTTCCCCATTGTTTTGAACAATAGAACAGAGATATCTAAAGTGTGTACTCATTTTAATGACTTGATTGTCCAATATCACAATCCCACAACTACATCTATAACTATTGAAATTACACTCCATGCATTAGGTTTTACAAATTTAGACTCTAATTGTGACCTCTAGTCCTCCATAATTCAAATTTTTCATCAACTCCTTCTCTAGCCTAATAAACAAGAAGAATATCATCAGCAATAAAAGCATACACCAAGGTACATCCTCTTACAAATGGCTAGTAAGAACATCCACTACAAAAGCAAAAAGATATGGCCTGAAGGCCGATTATTGATTTAAACCAACAGAGATAGGAAAATATTTGGTCAAACCACCTTTTATTTGAATACAAGTAATAACTCCTATATAAATATCCTCAATGATTTGAATATAAGCATTAAGAATTCCTTCCTTTTCTAAAACTCTCCGGAGCCCTTCTCTTGGAACTTTATCATATGCTTTCTTTAAATAAATGTATTATATGTAAACCCTCTTTTTAAATCAATGTATAATATGTAGACCCTCTTTACTCTCTCTATACTTCTCCATCGAACCTCTCAACAAACGTACAGCTTCCATAGTAGAGCTACCCAACTTGAATCCAAACTGATTTTGAGAAAAATTTATATTACATCTTAATCTATGCTCAATTACTCTCTCCAATAATTTTAATATATGACAATTAACTTAATTCCTCTAAAATTGGCACACTCTTGTGCATCACCTTTATTCTTAACAATACAAATTAACACACTCTTTCTTCACTCATCTAGCATATTTTTAGTCTTCAAAATAATAATAAAAAGTTTAGTAAGCCAAGTAATACCTTGATCTCCTAAGCATTTCCACATTTGTTTTTTGAATATCATCAAGTCCTAATATTTTCCACACTTTATTTTCTTTAAAGTTTCCCAAAATTAGATTTTATTAATATGATAATAAAAACAAAAATCTTTATTTTCATTTAGGGTACTAAGGTCATTAAAGTCAATCGTATTCTGACAATCTGCAGTTTAGATTCTTTTCAAGTCCTAATTTTTTCCATTTTAAGCGCACTACTGCGAAGGTTGTCCTGCAAGAAAATGCAATTTAAACCAATCCACCAGTAAATAAATAAAATAGCCCAAGGCTGTAGTGAAATGAAATTTGGACCCAAATCAAGTTTCTAAATATTATATCTGTTTGATTGAGATCAACAACTTATCATTTTTTGCAGAAAAAAGTATGAGCTGTTTATGTCTACCATAGTAAAAGAGAGAACAGAAAGTGCAATAAAATTGAAACTGACGCCACATGCACATGATACAATGTGGATGTATCCGGATCCAAATAAAGAGTTGCGTCGCTTTAGTTCTTATACGCCATCAAGAAAATTGGTACCAAAAAATAATAATAACAGTCCTATTCTCTGCTTTGCAATAACATGTTAAAACTTAAAATTAATTGACAATGTCATCATTGAAACCAAAAATAATAATTTGAGCAGAAAAAAACAATATAAGAATGAACCAATCCCCATAAAACCAGGAAGGTGTGGCGCTATTACCATTACCTGCTAGTCTAAGTACTCCTGAAACTCCGCAAAACGTTCCACATGACTGTGGAAATAAAGAAGAGAAGTATGCCCACCATGACAGCATACTTGAGACCAAGATTCACAAGTAAATTTACCAGAAGTCCAGCGAAAACCACGCCAAAGAAATTTGCAGAAACTGCAGACCAAAATGGCATATCAAGAATAGCGGCAATGATGGCCCCAGTCCACGCTCCAGTACCCGGAAATGGCACGGCAACAAAAAGCATCAAACCTAGCCACTGAAACTCCACCACTGGCCCAGCCTTTTCTCTTGCTCTCTCAAACAGAAGCTCCACAACCCTGGAAGCCGAAGAACTCTTCTTTGAAAGAAAAGCGGCAAACTGCTTCAAATAGAGCACTATAAAGGGCACCGGCACCATGTTCCTAAATATAAAAAATAAATTAGAAGGCCATCAAGGACTATCTTTCATCGGCATTCTCGAAGTTGATTGGCTAAGGTAAAATTCAGAATTGAACAACATACCCTAGGACAGAGACTACGGTGAGTTTCAGCGGATCTAGCCGCATCCAATAACCCACAGGGATGGCCCCGCGAAGTTCAATCACTGGGAGAGTAGCAAGAAAGAATACAATGGCTTCATCGATCCAACCAGATTTTCTCAAAGCCGTGGCTACCGTCAACCCAAACCCAGAAGTTCTAATCGAGTCGTCAACCGCAGCTAGAGAAGTGCCGCAGGTGAAGGATAGAAAAACGGAGAGTAAGACAAATGGGAGAATCCTTTGAGTAATAGAAAGAGCGCCTGGTACTCCTACTGATCTTTCTTGCGGGATAATTTCAGCACAACGGATCTTAAACTAATAAGGAATTAGAAAAGAGAAATAGCAACAAAGAGCATTGGTATTTGGCACAGAAAGAAAGCAGAAATTACCTTGTTGAGAAGACCGTAGGGGACTGGTTCAGATGTGAAAGCAACTTTTGAGGGTGTTCGGATTCGTCGGTAGAGGAATGTAGGTAGGGAGGAGGGAGTGGTACTTCTTCGTGAGGTGAATGCGAATAATGAGACGTTCCTTCTTCTTCCATGTAAGGCGAAAGTTTGGGAGAGAGAGCTGGTGGAGGCCATGGATTGCGACGGCATGAAGATTTCTCGCAGAATCACTAGGGCAGCTCCACCGGCCTGCCGATGACAAATTTGATTTAATTAGGAATAAAATAGTTGTGGATAATGGATATACATATTTATAATTGTACAGATAAATAGTATATACATAATACATTTGGAGCTGTTTGTTTGGAGGGATTATTGGATTCGGACACCGAACGAAGTCCGAAGCCCAATGAAAATGCGCCACATCACCCCCTACTCAGTATTGAACTCGGTACTGTGAAGTACCGAACAATTTCGAGCTCGGTATTGCGAGCTCAATACTGCTTTGTAATGTGAAGTATTGAACTCGGTATTGTTCAGTACCAAGCTCATTACTGCTCGGTAGTGTGAAATATCGAACATAAGATGTGTCTGTTGGGAGTATGTGAAACAATGGAGAGTTCTAGCTGTTGGGGAATGAAATATTTGAAGGCTTTGTTGTTGCTTGTTCTGATTCCATGGGAGGAGTTTGTGCTCGAGCACTAACAAGCATTATGTGTTTTCAATAGAGTAGGATTAATATGTAAGAGGATGCATATAAATTGTGTTTGTGTGTTAGAAACAAATGTTAATGTCTATGTGTTTATGTTTATTTGTTGAAGCTTCATTGGTTAGCTTGTGCTTTATTTGGATGTGCTTAAGCTGTTTGATGAGTTCTAAGTGTGTAAATATGTATGTTCTTATTTGAGTATTGCTTGGTTGTTTATGATACTATGTCTTCGACTGGATTGGGGATGCATGGATTTTATTTTCGTATTTTCCCTTTTCATCTTGACTAGATCATGTTCTCGAGTTATAGGAATGATCAAATTGTCCAATATAATGATTTTGCTTTACTCCGCATACACCCAACCCAACAAAAAAATAGTTCACATGCATTCACTTTAAAGACAACAAAACACCCTCAAAGCTTATACATGCCCAGGGTCGAACCTTGGTTAGAACTTGCCTTGTAGACATTGTCTTATGATGCCATCCACATAAGCTTATCCACGCCCAGAGGCGGAGCCAAGAATTTCTTGCCCCCAGGATCCCCACTGTAGCTCTACCCTCGTCCACGCCTAAGATCCCATCATTGGCTACCCAAAGTGCTCCCATCTCAAAATCTTAAGTCTACGAGCTCTTAACACTATTGGCTATATCCCATATGCTCTTCTTTGCAAACCCCCAATGAACCACACTTCATTGGCATGCCTACATTTGTCTATGAGCCCCTATCAACAGCTTTGCTAATCCCATCTAGACGCGTTTGTAAGAAGGGGTGAAAAAGAGCCAAGATTAAGGAAGCTCGCCGTTTGTTTGTGTTCAACTCCTTCAAATTTTTGTTCATTCAAATTTGGCTCATATTCAAAACTATTTGTGAATCTCAAGTTCATGTTCGAAACATTTGATTGCGTTTCAGGAGAAATTATTAGGTGCAGAGTTCGGACGTAGAGATATGTCCAGACATCAACTTAAAATGCGACACGTGGAGTGTGCTTTAGTTGCACTTTTTTGTACGTTTTAGTTGCGCTTTGACTGCTCTTTGTTGCTCTTTTTACTACGCTTTGACTGCTCTTTGGTATGCTTGGCTTTAAAGTTCCACGGACACATTAAATAAAGTAAAAAATAATTCAATTGAATATCAACATCTTCTCTATGATGATCTACCAACAGCCAAGTTGGTAATAAGTAATAATAACTACTACTAATTTGTATCTAAGATAAGAAATCCAAATATTACCAAAAAAAATTAATTTAAATTAGAGAACATAGGAAATTTTATTAAAGATTATAAGCTCGTATTAAAAAATTTTAACGCTTATGAATGGTTGCAATTAGCATGCCATTCTAATTACAGAGAAATTAGAGCTCAAATCTCAGGCAATTATCATATAATGCTTGGTCTTTACCTTTGTAATCCTCAATAAGATTTGCACGATTGCACACCTCCGAGCCTTAATGGAATAAGGATTTTAATTTCAAGCATATTTGCTCGAGTCAAATGAAACTGCTACAAGAAATAAAAAATTTAGATATATTTGAACAATAACAATCATCTTAATTAAAAAGAAGCTAAGTTTTTAAATACAGATATTTTTTTTATATAATAGTTGAAATTTCATTAAGAAACTCCAAGATTAAACGTGCTTCTGTAAGAGCAATTTTGGGATGAATAACCTCTCGGAAAGTTACGCCACCACCACCAACAACAACATCAATCCTTTGTCCCACTACGTGGGGTCAGCTACATGAATTATTTTTCGTCATTGTGTTCTGTTAAAAGTAAAATTCTCATTTAAATATAACAAATAAATATCATTTCTAATATTTTCTAACCAAGTCTTTTTAGGTCTACCTCTACCTTTCTTAATATAAGTCAAATCTAATACCTCAACTTTCCTAACCGGGTCATCAGAAGGCCTCCAATTAATGTGACCAGACCATCTTAGGTGACTCTCTCTAATCTTATTTCCCACTGGAGCTACTCCAACATTTTCACGTGTATGCTCATTTCGTATCCTATCTCTAAGGGTAAAATCACTCATCCGTCTAAGCATCCTCATCTTTGCAACACTTAACTTAGTATTATGCTTCTCTTTTAATGGCCAACATTCGGCATGATAAAGCATTGCATGTCTCACCACCATCTTATAGAATTTTCCCTTAAGTTTGAGGGGGACTTTTCTATCGCACAACAAGCCCGATGCATTCCTACACTTCAACCAACCAACTTGAATTATGTTGATAATATTCCCATTTATTTCACCATCACTCTGAACAATAGATCTAATATATCTAAAACGTGTACCTTTGATAATAACTTGATCGTCCAAAGTCACAATCCCCTCACTTGGTCTATTACTACTAAATCGAAAAGTTACACCACAAAATTATGAGACCATTAAACAACTGACAACATCTCTATAGCTAAGAATTTGAGTTGTTACAATCACATGCCCACATTTTACTTATGTTTTGCTCTTATTATCCTCTATGGGTTTACGCGTTCGCTTGTTGTATCAATTATGAAGGAATTATAATTCAAATCAAAGGCAAGCCAAAACCAAAACCGAAGCATTAGTACAAAATGATTAGTGAGCAATAGACAATTACTATATTACTATCAAACTAATCATATTCAGAAATAAGCCATTAGCAATTCCTGAGAACAAGATCACCAAAATAATAACCGGCCAAGCATATTTCAACAAAAGTCTAACAAGTCCACAACAATTAGTAGCCATTAACCATCGGTTCCAGCCTTCCAGCCGTATTCACCATACAACAGTAGCAGTTATCAGATAAGATAACTATATTGCAATGAATAATCTAAGAAGTCCAAAACAGAGAAACCGAGTTTGCAATTTATGTAAGCAATTTTGTATATATAAAAAAAACCAACCAAGCAAACATCTGATAGAGCAATGCTCAAAGACCTGTAGAAATAATTTCACAATAGTAGTTTCACAACTTGAGCTTTATTTGGGATAGCTTTCTTACCGCTTTATGAAATAGCATTTTTGTATAAATATTTTTTGAATTAGAAATTTTTGTACTATAAAGTTGTTTTACAAAACAATAAGAAAGCCGTCCCAAACGAAACCTCATGCTTCATACTTTACTTTAAAGTAGTTTTCTAGCATAAAAAATTCTAGTTCAAGCTAAATAATTTCTTTAGAAAGCAATAAAAAAGTTTTCTCGAATGAAACCTTAAGGCTTTGTTTGGGATAGCTTTCTTACTGCTGCTTAAGTAGATTTCTAGTACAAAAAATAAAATTGTTGTACTAGAAAACTGTTTTAAGAAGCAATAAGAAAGTCATCCCAAATGAACCCTAAACTTTTTTGATACTTCACAGTGTTCAACTTCCACCATTCGAGAAAATCACATTGCTTATTATTGCGCATATACAAACTCACTTTAATATAGATATATAAATTAGATTTGGAATATTAAAAGAACCCCTAAAATATGATAAAATGAACAAACCCAAGCATACAATCAAAACTATATGAAAAAGTTGTCATTTAACATGAAAGCTGGCCCTCAAACACCTGCAGAACTAGAACTAGCAACACAACAGCAATATATTCATTATATATTTTCCAAATAACATTCTTAAGTGCTTGAATTTGATCTCAGAAGATGGATATTGATACTACGCCAAAAAACACTTTTATTGAGGCATATTGTAGTTGACAACTTTCAACATTAAATGCGGGACAATCCAAATTCCAATTTCAGTAAACTTATAATCAAATTGAACGTATCAAGAAGACAAACACAACGACACCAAAATTGGTTCAAGCTGAGCCAAAATGGATCCAAATCAAGGGACCGAAACATGTTTTGAAGGTTCAAAGCTTTACTGGGATGACCAAATGATCACTAAATACAACATGCTTGTAGTCAAACCAAGCGGCTCGATGAGGAAAAACCAACGAGCCCAAGAGTGCTTCATTCTAACATCATTAAGGCACTTAAATATTTGAAACATGCTCTATAATCGAGGAAATTGGTATGGGTCGTCCGATGGAATACTCCAAAATTATCCTGGATATTTATGGAACATACCACTCACAAAAAATTATAAATAGGCCCATGCTCTCTTCATGAGGGAACTTTTGGCGCGGCTCGATGAGGAAAAACCAACGAGCCCAAGAGTGCTTCATTCTAACATCATTAAGGCACTTAAATATTTGAAACATGCTCTATAATCGAGGAAATTGGTATGGGTCATCCGATGGAATACTCCAAAATTATCCTGGATCTTCTTCATATTTACGTAACATACCACTCACAAAAAATTATAAATAGGCCCATGCTCTCTTCATGAAGAGAACTTTTGGCTAAAGATTTGAAAGAACTCTAAGGCTTCAAGGATCCTAGAGTTCCACCTAAGCACCACAGCCAGCGAACTTCCGTCGACTGTCATCAGACCCCCACCAATCTGCAGACCATCACCGAATCCTTGCACATCAACTGATCACCAACGGACCTCCCTCCAACTGCCATTGACATGCCACTCGGCCCATCGTCACCCACCAACTTTGTGTGAGAGCTCGTTTCTTTGATTTCCTTCCAGGATCGTCCGGGACGATGTTGAGATCGTCCAGGACGATCAGTGAAACAACTGATTTTTGAGGTGGATCGTCCGAGCCGATTTGGGATCGTCCTGGGACGATCAGTGCATGGCAAAAGACAGTGAGTAAGGGTTTTTATCGTCCGAGAAAAATTAATTATCGTCCTGAGATATCGTCCTGGACGATTGGATTTTGTTCATATCGTCCTGGACAATGTGGCGATCGGCCGGGCCGATCAGGTTTGTAAAATCATTTTTTTATAACAAAATATCTGAGGAGAGAGAAGGAGAAGGAAAGCAAAGGAAAAGCTGGATTTCGGAGGCCGCGGAGCGCTTTTCGTCCGACGCCGTTGTTGGGAGAAGTGTTTATCTCGTAGTAAGGACTCCGAACCCTATTTCTGTTTTCAAAAGTTCGAGTTTTGGTATTTTCCTGTGCTCAGATTTGATTTTCGTACCGAAAAAACGAGCACATTTTGTATTGACCAAAGTTTTATCGCAGCAACTTATTGGTATGTTTTGATATGGTATTTCTACACGATTTGATTATTTTTGGAGATTTTTGCACTGGATGTTTTGATTTGGCGCGTGTTTGTATTTTGACTGTAAATTCTGGTGGAATGTCTGAAATTGTTTTGGGCAGTAGAATAGTCTTATAATGTGTTGTGAACGTTCTGTACTATTTTGGTAATTGTGAATTTAGGAAATTTTTGTGTAAATTCCGTTACTGCCGTTATGGCCGCTGGTTTTTGTACGATTTCTGATTTTCTGAAATTGATGAATTTTGAATGATATGCATACAATATGTGAATATATGATTGCTCTAAGATACGGTTATTGGTTATTGAAAGACAAGTGAAGCTGGTTGAACCGTTGGTTGGAGATTGACTTGACCTGTAACAGATGGTGGGGCCGACGGGCTTCCTTAAAAAGGGTTTGGTGTTATCCTCTAGTTGGCATTGATATAACGATTGGGAGGCATAGGAAATTCCTTATGCCGATGGGCACAGAAGTGAGACTCTTATTGAACCACGAATTATATTTATTATGGGATTTCTACAACAAACACTAATGATTGAAAAAATGCCTTAATAGCCAGTGATTGTACTTGTTCAAGTAAGACTATTGTATTTGAAGTGCATGTGTAGGTATTGACATGTTGATCTCGTGATGGATTTATTGATTTATTGATTTTGAATGGATTTACGGACGGATTTACGGATTTATTGTTACTGTACGGTTTCATTGATATTCGCATTATGTCACTGAGCATTGATACTGATACTGATACTGATATGGATGTTGTATTGATTCATTGATGCTGTGGACATGGATACTACTGATTCATTGATATTGATTCATTGACACTATCGCTTCATTGATACACCGTATTGAACTACTGCATGTGATCCATTGCTGATATGGATCAAGTTTTACTGTATTGATTCGACTTCAACCGTTCTTGCGAAGTATTGATTTGATTGTTTTATATGATTTCATACCGATCTATTTCATTGACCGGATAATATTGCTTTGATTGATTTGATTTGATACGATTGATTTGACTGAGCGATTTAATTGAGATTCTTCTGCATAGATTTTTCTACTGTTTATTGATTATCCTATCGCTGACTATGGATTTTATCGATTGTGCATTGACTACTTATTTTCGTATCTACATAGATTCATTAATCATGTGCAATTGACTGTTATAGATTCGCTTGACTGACATGCATATTATTTTCAATACCGTGCTTTGATTTCAGTTATAGGTATTAGGTGACCTGCTGGGCTTTTTGAAGCTCATTATATGTGGTTAATATTTTCAGGTCAGGGCAAGGGAGAAGAAGATTGAGGTTGATCAGGAATCTCCAGGTTTTTATTCTTTTTGGTTGTAGTGATTCTTTTGTACTCAGGACATGATAGATTTCAGTTCATGTGTTTGTGTTCATAGTGTAGCTCTTGAGTATTGTATATGATCTTTTGAGGTATGAATGGAACTGTACATTGATGTTTTAATTATCGATTGTTTGGTAGACTGTTATTAAAGACTATAGATAGCTATGGTAAATGGTTTTAATGAATTGACTGAAATTCTTTCCAAGTTAGATCTTGGGGCGTCACACTTTGGTCCATCCGACCGCCACCGCCCATCGACTGTGGTCCTTTTGACCATCGTCGCCCGTCGGCTTTGATCCCTCTGACATCTATCGCTCGTTAACTATGGTCCCTGCGACCTCCTTCGCCTCTCGACTATAGTCCCTCAACCCATTGTTGCCTGCCTATTGTGATCTTTTCGACCTCTGTAGTCCGTCGACTACAATCCCTTTGACTTATGGTGTATTTGGATATGGTCTAAATCTGAGAAATTCCAAATACACTGGATTTGAACTATAAGGTGAATTCCTTTTACTTCAAAAATATAATCCTTGTTCCTTTTTACTTTAAATCAAACACCAATATTTTAAAAACCCCTGCATTTAGAATAATTTACGCCCCATTTGTAGTAAACCAAACAGCCCTTCAAGCATCTCACACACGTTCAAGATAAATAGAGGAATATATGAACATAAACATGTAAGGGCTTTTGTAGCTTTACTTGTATTGCACTTGATTGTCTCTTACATTCTTCAAATCCGTCATATGAACATGCATTTTATTACATAAATATGATAATGTTGACATATTTAACATAATACATGAATGCGTGGAAGTAGCACATTTACGATAGTTCTAGTATATACATCGAATAAAACTCTGAACTTGTACACATTTTCAATAATAACAAATTAGAAAATCGTTCATAGAGAATAGTTATAACATTATTTTTGAGCTTTTATTGTTCTATAAATCCTTCTATTGAAATTAACATGAGTAGTAATATATATGAAAAATTATACATTTAAAACAAATAGGTGAAATTTTGAGTTTTGTCTATCAAAATACTCAAAATTATATAATTTATGACATACAAAAAGTTATAATGTGTAGAGTTTTTAAAACTCATTTAAATTAAACTCTATAACTTTCATCCAAATTTTTTAAATTGAAGATTAAAGTAGAGTAATTGGAGCCTATATTGACACATGTAATTTCTTCATCTGTACCAATAGACAAATATGGCTCCACAACCACCAAATTCTAACTTTTTATTCTATTTCCTTTTGCCTCTTTCTTCTCTCTATGACATTTCTAATAATTGGGATTGAAAATTGGTGAGTGAAAAAATGCATTTAGATATTTGTATACAAATCTCAAATTTGGCTCATCAATTTGGTGCTACATCTCATAACGCCACAACACTCCATCTGAATATTCCAGATGCTAAGACATAGAACTTAGTACTGTAACGCTCAATTCCAGCACCGTAGCCCTCCCAACTGCCTTTTTATAAACATATATATATTAACAGTGTAGTGCTTACTTATGCAGTGCTTTCTTAGCCAAATCTCCATAAACATACAAATTTTCGTAGCTCTTTCCGCACCATAACACCACCACTATAGCACTACAACATTTTCGAGGAGTTTTCTAAGTTAACTTTCTTACTTTTCTAACTGGAGAACCAACTTGTTTGGACTTAGTTAAACATAGGATAACTTTTCATCAACATTTAACGAATGAAAAATATGAAATTCTTATCGATTTTTTTTTTCATTACATTGTGAGTTGACTCATTTTATAACAACAACTATAGGGGTGCGACATTTACTTGAAAATACCTCTTAGTGAACGAGGTAGGGAAACTATGAATACAAACCCCCTTGGATATCCGCCTTTAGGATTCCTGTTTTATAGCTTCACCCCATCAATGATGAGCTTATTAACAACTACCAATAAAAATCATCATATCACTCTATTATGAAATTGATGTTATTCATGGTATAAATGTATACAAGTGTTGCATTAGGCATCCACCACATCATAAATTCACTTCTCATTTAGACCAACAAGATTGGAGGCCCTGGTTCTAGTAAATATGTTTTTAAAGAACATTTGACTTGAGAAATTATTATAATGAGGTTAGTCTTAATAGGAACAATAAAATGGAGATTTGAATTTATATGGTTCATAATGCTTGAAATTGTATATGATCAATATTTATTTTCTTGAAAAATATGTTCGATAGTTCATATAGAACAAAAATACACATTATCTTTACTGTAAAGGAGAAAATATCTTAACCTCGGCTATTTTCATTGGATGTCATAATTGGCATCATCTTATCTTTATTAAAGCTTAGGAGGGACAATGTTAGTGAAATAAAAATATTACCACTAAATAAATAGTTATTCAATGAAGCGTTATTTGTTATTTTTTTGTGTTATACATCTATGAATTCTCTGTGTTGTTTATTGTGACCGTTCTCTGAATTTACTTTGTTACGTTGAATATTAAATGAGTCTTATTCGCATGTGTTATCGAACTATTTTATAAAATTTTTAAATAATATATTTTTTATATCATGTTCGAACTTTAATTGATTTTTTTTTTTGAATAGCAATGATGGATTTCAATTAGAATTAGAAGAATATTCAATCATGAACCACATTTTCTATTCATATGATCCGAACCAATATAGGGAAAAAAAGCTAGCCCAAGATTCTAAAAGGTATGTATTTTGATAATTGAGAAATATTGGGATATATTTCTCCAAAAAATTAAATAGATATTATATTTTTCTAATTTTAAATATTGTATGACATATAGTTTTCTCATAAAATCTAAGATTTATCTTTTAAAATCGACCAGCATGCAATCAACCATGCACTAGGGTTACAAAGGCTTGCTTTTCTTTTCGGTAAAATTGTTTTGTGCTAAAATTGGCAGTATTGCCGGCCAACAATTTCATTTTGAATATTGGGCATCCAATCCCACTCCTGGTTTTCCTCCGAGGCTTTGCCGAGGAGTATCTGTCTCTTCTTAGACGGCCGTGCTGATGCTCCTAACCGACTGCAACCATGGTGCGACTCTCTCTCTCTCTCTCTCTCTCTCTCTCCCCCAAAACCCTCATTTTTCTATTTGAAACATCCTCGTGCTCCCTTTCTTTGCAGTTCTCGATCGCAGCTATCAACGACTGCGATTCCAGTGGCCAGCGGGAGCCTCTTGCGCCCACCAAAGAAGCCCAGGCATGAAAAACTTATGTTTGTTTTCCCCCTTTCTTATCACGCCTGCGACACTATTTTGTTCTTCAATTGCGCGAAAATAAAGAAAAAAGGAAACGTAATTGATGTTTCATCTCTTACAGTTACTACAATCGTTATAGTAGGATTCGGCAAATTCTGCTTAAGTTTTGTTTTACGTGGGCATTCTTGCTTACAAGTTCTGTTAGCTGAAGTGTTTAAGTGCATTCTTTGTTATTATTTTCCCGCAACTAGTCCCTATACTCTTCAAATCTGTTGAGATGTCTCTATTGTTACATTGAAGTATGGTCATGCAAAATTTTTTTGTTGCTGCTTAAATTGTTTGTGAAAAGCAGTTTTGCATTTCTTTGTGAAGTTTATTATTTGACCCTTATACATCAAGGGGGCAGCTGTGGAGTTAGGAAAGAAATATTCTGGGCAGTGAGAAGGTAAGGCCACTATGAAAGCTATCAAGCATATGCTTTTTACCGTTTGAACTTTACCCATGGGTAGAAATTATGTGTATCGAAAAGTGTTGCAAAACTTTGGATCAGGTTGGTCCAAACTATGGTATTTTGGAAGGAGTCATACTACTATACTAGAAATAGTATATGTGTGATTATAGATATGTGTTTGAAAGATAATATTATAAAAATTAATAGAATTGGAAATAGAATGATAGCTTTAAAAATTGTTGTTGGTGTTAAGATTGTTAATATTATAAGTGCTTATGCTCTTCAACCATATTTTGATATGTGTTAAAAATTTAAACTTTGAAATGACTTAGAAAAGTTATTACAAAAGATACCTCTTAAAGAAAGAGTTTTATCGGATGAGATTTAAATGTACATATTAGTAGACAGATGATTTTAAAAGCATTCATCGTGGCCATGATTTTAGAGCGACTAGTGAATGTAGTAAGATTATATTAAATTTTGCTATAGCTTATGATTTTGTAATTGTTAATACCTTATTTAGAAAAAGAGATGAACATCTCATCACTTATAAGAATGGATATAATAAAACTCAATTTAATTATTTTCTTATAAGAAAAGTAGATCGTTTAGATTATAAAGTTATTCCTAGTGAAAGTTTATATATGCAATATCGCTTATTAGTTTTTGACTTTAAGATGAAGCGACAAATATATAAAATAAAGTAAAACGTTATTTTAGGATTAGATGTGAGCATTTTAAAAATACTAACAAAAATATTTTTGAGAGTGAGATTCTAGATCTTAAGATTTTATCTGTGCATGGGGAAGTTAATCTTATGTGGGAAAAATAGCTAGTGATATTAGTAATATTTCAAATAATGTGCTTGGAATATTAAAGGGAAAATCTCATAATAGTAAAAATAGTTGGTAGTTGAATCAAAATGTACAATTAGAGATAAAAAATACGAAGATTTTTTATAAAATTGGTTTAGATGTGAAAACTATGATAATTGAAAAAAATATAAAGAGTCATGTTAGGAGTTTAAGAAAGCAATATATGATATAAATATTGTAGCTTTTAATGATTTATATAATATATTAGATATTAGTGAGGGTGAAAGACATATGTATATGTTAGCCAAACAAAGAGATAATAGCAAGAACTTAGTTGAAGTGAAGTGCATTAGGGATGAAGATAAAAAAATGCTTTTATTAGAAAATAATATTTAACAAAGGTGGATGAGATATTTTTGCTAAGCTTTTTTCAATGAAGATTGTGAGAATACGATTAATTTTAGTGACCTTAGCACAATAAATGAAAATAAAGATTTTTGTTTTTATCGGCCATTAGTAAAATCAAAGTTAAAGATGCTTTAAAGAAAATGAAGTGTGGAAAAGCTGTTGGAGTAGATGATATTCCAATATAGCTGTGGAAATGCTTAGGGGATGAAGGAATTTCTTGACTTACTAAACTTTTTAATATTATTTTGAAGACTAAAAAGATGCCTGTTGAGTGGAGAATGAGTGTGTTGATTCCTATTTTTAAGAATGAAGATGATGCACAAGATTGTGCGAATTATAGTGGAGTTAATATAATGTGTCATACTTTAAAACTATGGGAGAAAGTTATGCAGCATTGGCTACGACGTGATACTAATGTTTCTCAAAATCAATTTGGATTCATGCCTAGTAGGTCTACTATGGAAGCTATACATGTGTTGAGAGGTTTGATGGGAAAGTATAGAGAGAATAAGATGGATCTACATATGATATTTATTGATTTAGAGAAAGCATATGAGAAAGTTCCTAGAGAAGTGCTATGGAGAGTTCTAGAAAAGAAAAGGGTTAATAATGCTTATATTTAATATTTAAGTCATTAAGGATATGCATATAAGAGTTGTTACTTGTGTTCAAACACAAGGTAGTTTGACCAAGTATTTTCCTATTTCAGTTGGATTACATTGAAGATTAGCCTTAAGCCCAAATCTTTTTGCTTTAGTCATGGATGTTCTCACTAGACATTTGTAAGAGAATGTACCTTGGTGTTTGTTTTTTGCTAATGATATTCTTCTTAATGATAAGACTAGAGAGGGAGTAGAAGGTAAACTTAAATTATGGAGGTCAACCTTAGAGTATAAATGTTTTCGTTTGAGTAGATCTAAAAATTGAATATATGGAGTACAATTTTAGTAGTAATAGATTTAGAGGCGGTATTGTGACTTTGGATGATCAAACTATTAATAAGAGTACAAGTTTTAGATTTCTTGGGTCTATTATTCAGAGTGATGGTGAAATAGATGTGGATATTATTAGTAGAATTCAAGTTGGATGGGTTAAGTGAAGGAATGCATCGGGCTTGTTGTGTGATAGAAAATTCCCCCTCAAACTTAAGGGAAAATTCTATAAGATGGTGCTGGGACCTGCAATGCTTTATGGTGCAGAATGTTGGTCATTAAAAGAGAATCTTAATATTAAGTTAAGTGTTGTAGAGATGAGGATGCTCAGGTGGATGAGTGGCTTTACTCTTAGAGATAAGATACAAAACGAGCATATACGTGAAAGGGTTGAAGTAGCTCTAGTCGAAGATAAGATTAGAGATAGTCGCCTCAGATGGTTTGTTCACATAAAACGGCGGCTTTCCAATGACATGATTAGAATAGTATTTGTGTTGGATTTGGCTTATGTTAAGAAAGGTGGTAGACCTAAAAAAACTTTGTTAGAAAATATAAAAAATGACATTTCTTTATTAGATTTAAATATGAATTTGACTCTTAAGTCTTAACATGACAAAATGGAGAAAAAAAAAAGATTCATATTGTCGACCCCACGTATTGGGATAAATGGTTGTTGTTGTTGTATTAAAAAAATAATTAAAAAATATGTTTAAAAATATATAATGTATATGTTTTGAAGTAGAAATTTAAAGTTTCAATTAATTTATTTAGTCCCACATTGCTTGGGAATTTCAATTAATTTATTTTGTTGTCATGTGTTAAGAGCTCACAAGGGGTGATGGGACCATATGGGTATGTTGTGTTGGTGCTTAGATTGCAAATAATAATTATTATTATTATAAAAATTTAGGCTTATTATTAAATTTAAATTTGTTATATTTAAGTTAATTAATATTTAATCAATTTTTTTATATTAAATTAATTTATTTAATTATTTAAGTAAGAGGTCAATTGAACTGTGTGGTTCTTAAAAATCGGGACCAGTTCAACGGTTGGCTGGTTCACTTGCGGTTCAAATTGGTTCACACCGGTTTGATGCTGGGCCGGTTGTTAAGGAGGATCGGACCGGCCATTTGGCTGGTTCACGGTCGAGCTGGTCGAGCTGGCCTATTCGATTTGATTTTTAAAACCTTGGTTACACCTCTAGATCGATTGCTAGGTTAATAGTGATGCATGAGTTTACTTCCTTTTACTCTCACTTTGATGGCACTCCCATTTTTACTTCCGTTCTGCTTCTGTGAAATACTTTTTGGTGTTCCTTAACTGTAATTTGTTAAGCATATTTTGCTGTACCACTCCAGGAATTTCATCTTTCTCAGAGTTATCATGAGGGGCTTCTGAAGTTGCAGGACAGAGATTATGCAAAAGCCCGTGAGCTTTTTGAGGCTGTTTTAAAAGATCCTCTAATATCAAGTTCACATGTAAACATGGTTTATTCAGGAAATTGTATATTATTTTTTCTTGAAGTTCTTTCTTCTTATTTATGCTTTCTTCTTTTAGATTGGTAAGAATGCTGGTGACAGCCACTTGCTGCAGCTGAGGTATTCAAATGAACACTACCTTTGTCTTGCTATGAACCACAAATCTGTTATTTAATCCTTTTCAAAATTTGTTAAATTAGCATTTTGCTGTTGATTAAAAAATTAAGTTCGGATTTACTGCTTCCTGCACTCTGAATTACGTTAATTCTTCATGTTTCAAGTCTGACATGCAGTGACGTCCTTTTAACTGACGAGTTCAATTGCGCAGGCATCCAGTGAATTGAGTTATTAGTTCTCTTTCTTTCTGTCATTTAATGTTTTATGTGGGTTATTATGTGATAATTCCTTAATGTTTGAATTTTTACTTTTCTGATTATTTCTATAAAGAGCCATGTTATTCAAAACTTAGTGTTTTTTGAGTTGAATCAAAATTTATGCATCCTATATTTTGGCTTGTTTAGTTCTTCTTTTTCCTGCTTGATTCAACATAACCTGCTTTGATCATTTAGAAGTTCAAATTCTTCGAGTATTCAGCATCAACAACTTGAATATCTTTTGTTTTATCTTTAATTGCCCTTCTCTTGGCTCTCCGTTCTCTCTTAAATCTCCACATTCCACATTTTCTTTACCTAATCTTCATCACCCCACCACTTAGCCGCTTCTAATTTTGTTTGAATTGGTGAACCTACTGTATTAGAAATTAAATATGCTTTCTTCCTGGTAAACTCAAGAACGTGATTGGCAAAGCTTCAAGTTTTTAGGCATACATTTAGCCTAATGAAGATGTTTTCAAACTAACTCATTTATACAAAGTTTCTTTATATATATTTCATTTTAGGGAGATTCCCATTGTCTTAGACGCCGGGGTGTTAAATTATTTCCTGACTTTTTGGATGAGTTTTTTCAACATAACATGAGAGTTAATGACAATCATCCGATATAAAATTACGGTCGACATCAGTGATGGGATTAATTAAAATTTTGCTTGCATTATTCAGACATATATATGCAAATAATATTTGGATTTATTTTATAGGTGTATTTCTTTCCTTATAGATTTTTTGTTAAGGCTTTTTTTCTGTCTTATTTTTATTGCATTGTTTGCTTATAATTTTAAGGTTTTTTCATTAATAGTGACCTCTAGGGCTAGGTTGAATTATTGATTGGTTGAATAAAATACTAAATACCACTGAATGCCTGTCTTATTTCTTTTGTTTGGGTACCTGCAGCTGTGTCAGGAATAGGGATACCTGTTTCAGAAAATGTGTAATCTGTTTAACGTAAGGATTTTCTTTTATATTAGAATAAGATAATCCTGGGTTTGGTCAGTCTATGTTTATTACTGTCCTTCCGGGGCTTTTTTTGGTGCTTACATTGATTTCTTTCTTTCAATTCTAGAAATTAACATCTTTACATGCAAGTGCTAATTCTTACCATGTCTACCTTGTGCTTATTATGCATTCTCTATGCCGATAGGCTGCTTTAAGAGTCATTGGTGGTTCCTGTTTCTTGCGTCACATGAGAAGCATGATCAATTCCTCGACTATCACATAACTATTTATTGCTGATCTTGCTGTGTTGGACTAATTTTCTATAGTTTGCTATGCTTTCAGTTCAAGCAAATTTGCACCTGTCTTGCTTACTTTGGTGTAGTCAAACCATACTGCATGTTTTTCTGTTCTTGATTTTTAAATGAATTTCTATTTTCAATCAGTTGGGGAGGAAAGGTTAAGTAAAGATGCTGGTGTTTTTTCTTTCTAGCACTACCATATTATAGCAATCAGCTTTAATTAGGCTTTGTTTGTGACGGCTTCTTTATGCTTCTTAAAACAACTTTTTAGTAAAAAATATTCAGAGTGAATAAGTTGACTGTTTTCTTCATACTGATGTATTAATAACACTTCTGCAGATTTTTGTCATTGAAGAATCTTGCCTTGGTTTTTTTCCAACAAGGCTCGGATCATTACAATAGTGCTCTTCACTGCTATCTTCAAGCAGTGGAGATTGATTCTAAAGATTCAGTTGTTTGGAATCAGATTGGAACACTGGCTTGCACCATGGGCTTATTTAGTACATCACGATGGGCATTTGAGCAGGGGCTTATATGCAGTCCCAACAATTGTAAGAATTTGCAAATTCCTTGCATTGTCATCTTCTTTTTTTTTTGGGACATTTAGGCCATTTAAGGCAAACTCACACACACAACGCATATACAGAGACTCGAATTGGAAGCCTTAGCTCTCAACCAATAGGCCAAGGAGAGCTGTGTTATAGACAATATAGTATATGCTATAGTTTCCATTTAGTACGGTATTCTTTTATTAAATTCCAGATAATGCTTTCTACATGAAGGGAACTGCATGGAGAAACTCTTGGAGATATTAATCGCTATTGGAGATGAAGTTTCATCCCTTTCTGTGGCAGAGCTGATACTGCGGCACTGGCCATCACATTCTCGTGCGCTGCATGTCAAGAAGATAATTGAGGATGCAGAGCCATTACCATTTGCGCCTCGTGGAATAGATAGGCTGGAGCCAAAGCATATTCGACTAAAGTTTCCCGAGAAGAGAAAAGTAACAGATGACATAATTGATGAGAATAACTCATCAAAAAAACCTAAACAATCTGTTGAACTTCAATTGTCAGAGGCAACTTGGGCAATTACTGCAGATGCAATTTTAGGCCTCTTATTTCCTGCAGCCAGTAGGTTATCCGAACAAGTCTTTTCACTACAAGAAACTTCACTAAATGGTAAAGTCGGTTGCAGGCGAGGGGATACTCATAATGTTGATGAATGTGGGCTTCGAGCATTAACAAATTCAAGTATAAACATACGCATATCCTCAACTTCAAAAACTGTTGTGGATTTAGCTGGACCAGAGATTTGTCCAGCTGGTGAAAATATGGCTGTCACTTCCTGTAGTTTTGATGAAACAAGAATGATGAAAGATAAGGAAATCTGTGTGGACAAAGAACATCATCATGAAAGGCGAAGTATGCGCCTTGAAAGGCTAAGAAGCCGCAAATCAGGAAAAGAAGAGTTGGAATTTTCAAGTGGGAAGGATCCTTCAAAATTTGTCTTGCGAACTTTAGAACCTTTTATACTTAATAAGTCTGGAGCAAGAAATGTTGATTATTCTGGAAATAGTAATTTTTCTGATGCTGACAATTTTACATATTCTTCAGTTCAAGAATGCAATGCTGTTACTCAATTCATCTCTAAGGCTTCAAAAAATTGTGGGGCGTACCATATAGGACATATGTTTCTAGAAGAGATTTCAAAAGTGACTGTTCCTATTCAAGTTTGTTTTGCTAAGATCCTTGAAATAGAAAAGTTGACAAGGCATTGGGGCCAGGATAGGAGTCCGTTATGCTTCCTGTTTCTAGCTGAGTTATGTTTTGATCAATGTTCAATATCTACTGATGAATCCAAGCAAGTTGAATTTTTCTCTGACTCATCCTATCATCTATGTAAAGTCATTGAGTTAGTGGCTATGGATTCACCAAATGCCTTTGTTGGTGTACACGACAATCTCAATAGCTCAAAAGGTAGCTTATGTGTGGATAATACTAATAACCAATCAAATTCTTTGAGTTGCACTTTCGAGAATGATAATATTGTAATCAGCAATATTTTTCCATCAGGAGTATTGGATGTTCACCGGCAATCTAACGAGAACAATTCTGCATTTTGGGCTCGTTTCTTTTGGTTAAGTGGCTGCCTGTCCCTTTTGCATGTTAGCAAGGAAAAAGCATTGAAAGAATTCATCATTTGCTTATCAATTTTGAGAAAAAATAGCGAGACATCAGATTCTGTGCCTTTACTTCATTGCAGAGTCAAGTCACTTACTATTGACAGGGTTATTAATGAAATTAATTTGTTAACGTTAGATACATTGCTTCATAAGGTTAATGTGGACTTTATGGAGAAGGGTTTGTATGCAAAATGCATAGAAATGCTTTCCCCACTATTACTTTCCACAAAAGATGTCTACCTTGACGTGGTATCTGCTTCCTCAAAGGAAAGTGATGGAGTCATATCTCTTGAGTTGAGGGCTATAGATATCTTAATATCAGCTTGTCAAAAAACAGAGCCTATGAACAGTGAGCTCTATTTAAACTGTCACCGACGGAAAATGCAATTGGTTATTGTTGCTGCTGGTATGCTAGGTTTTCGCAAATTACAAAATGATAAAAGCTCATATCTCAAAACAAGCTCTGCCTCTGATTTGGGAAATCCAGATTCTGTAGATAAGCGGTGGCTAGAAATGTTAGCTGAAGAGATAAAGGATATATGTCAAATAGCGACAAGGATGAGGACTATTGTTGATCAGAATGCAGCTCATGTAAGTTTTCATTAGAAGAATTCTACTTCTATTTTTAAGGAAATCTTAGGTCATCAATATTGAATATCTTAATTAAGTAAAGCAAAATGCCCTGAATTTTTTAAATCTATAACGAATGCATGTTGTGGCCATTGGCATCTTTTTTCTGCATTAAGCAGGCACCATTCGAGCAGTTAATTTTGATCTAAAACTAAAGTCTATTAACAACTTTTGAGCCCTAAAGTTTCTATCAGAGGTTTCCTGTTAACAACCTTAGGTTTTGAATGCTAGTTTGTTTCCATTTTTCCTGATGCACTTTTCCTGCTCTGTATAATCAGACTCGGAAATGGGAGAGCCCCACCACACAAGATTAGGCTATATCAACATGCTATGTTTTTTCTGCAGGCAATTGCATACCCCAGATGATGGGGATATGAAATGCAGATGGTTGCAATTTGTATTATGCTGCTATCTCAAATCCAAAGTAATCCGGCCATGCTTTACCAATTGGCCTCTTCATCATTACTGGTCCAAACTGTTCCACCCCCACCTGTGACCAAAATTTGGCATGGTACTATGGTAGTGCCGTGCCAGCCAGCAAATCCGGCTATCCTTACTGTTTAAATAATGGGATTAGGGCAGTTGGGCTAGTTAGGGCCTTGGTCAGCACCATTTTGCTTTTTTTAGTTATGTCAACATCATCATCATTAACCTTATCCTGACCATATTGGGTTTGGTTTGTAAGTTCTAATTCTCTCATAATTTATACTAAGTATTGCCTGAGTTATTTACCTTTTTAGTGCATTTTTTTGCACAAGTTCCACCTTTCTTGAACTCATTTTTCATGCATAATCCTTTCATAGTAAATTTAAATACGCATATTATAGGTATCTTCTATTAGTTCTTGTGGAATATGATTGTGTCGATCAATTGGGTTGTACTCTTGACTCAATTATCAATTTCGTTGGTTGAGCTTGACAAAGAGCTTGCTGGGGAATCATAGGGGGGCAACACGCCATGTGCTAAATGATTTCGATTATGTTCTTAGGAAAAAAATATTTCTTATCCTTACGGCGCCACGACGCTGTAAATTCAGTGCTAACGCACTGTGAATTTTCTCTTGGATAGAGAGCTTAGCAGGGGGGCACTGTGAACCCACTATGGGATAGAAATCCTAACGTCGTAGCTCTGTGGGCCGGCTGAGTCAGTTTCTTTCTTGCAATTTTTATGTGGTTGTTACATCAAAAGGTGTGTGTGCAAGATAGTGTGTGAAGTTTGTGAGAGGAGAGAGAGCAAGATTTGTACAATTTGTTTCATTTTTCATAATGAATTTTTGGGCTTGGTATGGCTCCGTGATTTTTTCCCATTTTCAAGTTTTCTATGTTAAATTTTGGTGTTCTTTCTCATTTGTTTGTTGTCTTGTTTGTTTCATTCATTGTTTACTCCCAACATCTTTTACCTTTCATTGTGTGTGCTTTAGTCATCTATCTATTTATTGTTGCCTTAACTTCGATAAATGTTACTGCCACCATCCCACTAATATAATTAAAAATTCAATATATATTTTATTAGTTTTGCCATACATCTATCTTAATATTCTTATTTCTACCATTCTTAACTTTGTTATATGTGATTTAGTTATCTTCCAAGTTCCAACACATCTATAAAATATCGGTGATCTAATTGTAGCCATAATATTCCCTTCTATTTTAGAGACATTTCTTGTTTTTCCTTACTAAGCCTTAACTTTATAAGTTATATTCTCATTTACATCTTCATTCTTTGGTATGTTTGTTAAAAAAATACTTGGAACGTATAATATTTATATCACGATGTCTTTTAGTAATATTGGATACTAATTATTAATAGCTCTTCTATTATAATTTCTTTACGTATTCTTAGATTGTGCTCTATTTACCTTATGCCTTATAGTTATTCAGTATTTTTTTTCTTTTTTCTAAGTTTTGACTTTTTCCTATAGAAGTCTCTTCGATTAGAATTATGTTATTAAAAATATATATACATAAAGTACATTTTTAATACCCCTTTTAAGCACTTATATAACTTATGTAAACTTATACATACTTTATGTTGATCCTTATTATAATTCTTTCATTATAAAGAAAATATAATTCCTTAAATACTTCTAATATTAATCAATGTTATATCATATGTATCTTTGATTACATTTGGCACACGTTGTTGCCTTATCCAAAATTTATTCTTATGGTGCTCGATGATAGTCCTTCTTATGATCAAAAAAATCATAAGAAGATTTTCTTTTTGCTATTTATACTTGATAGTGAATATTTTTAGCTTAAAATTAAATTGATTGTCTAATATCTAAATCATATGAAGATTCCCTTTTTGCTATTTATACATTTTCATTATTTTCCTTAGCAATAAATTCATCATCTTAGTGGATATTTTTAGCATAAAATCAAATTGATTCTCGGATGTTGATGTAATTTAGGTCTATGTTATGTTACTCTCTCCACCTAATTTGTTGACTCATAAATTTGATACATCCCAATATTTGTTAGGCTTGAATGTCACCTTGGTTCTTAAATATTCACCTTGTATTAATCATTGTTATTTTTTAATCTTCAAATTATCATACAACAACAACAACAACAACATCAAGCCTTTATCCCACTACGTGGGGTCGACTACATGAATCCTTTTTCTCCATTGTGTCCTATTAAAAAGATATCTAAAACGTTTACTCTTATTAATGACTTGATCGCCCAAAGTCACAATCCCCTCACTAGGTCTATTACTACTAAAATTGCACTCCAAATATTTCGTTTTAGATCTACTCAAGCGAAAACCTTTAGACTCTAAGGTTGACCTCCATAATTCAAGTTTACCTTCAACTCCCTCTCTAGTCTTATCAACAAGAAGAATATCATCAGCAAAAAGCATACACCAAGGTACATCTTCTTGCAAATGTCAAATTATCATAAAAAAACTTTTTAATCATGTTATTGCAATGTCACCTAAAACTCTCCAAATATTATTTATATCATATATGAATCTAAAGTTTTTTTTTTCCTTACACATTTTCTTTGGAGCTAATTCTACATCACTTGTTTGGACCAATGTACAATATACTTGTTCAATCTAGATTTGTCCGGTGAATGATACTTGACTTTACTAGCTGATCTATCTGGTGAGCTTGAGAACCTATTGGTGAGAGTGGAGAGTTGTGGACAAATTATAGAGGAGAATAGGCTAGCAACTCACTATCTCAGTTAATAATACAAGAAAAGTATCAGAGTCCAAAAGGTCCAAAAAGTATCCAAAATTCTCCTAAATTATTTATCATCACCATTTATTATAGGATTTTGAGGGCTACAAGAAAGACTACATAAAGAAAGATAGAAATATGGGCTACACAAAATTACCCATACAATGCTACACGCTAATCTAGGATATTTGATGCCTCTTAATTCGATGCTGGAGGATGAAGTCAATGATTTGGTGAACTATTTATCATCGGGCGAGTCCTGAGAAGAAGTGAGTCCGTTGTTGGCTAGTTTTCTTGCGAGGCCGATGAGTGACATTTGAGGCTCGGTGTCCTGTTGAGGAGGGTGAGCCGAGGTGTTAGTGTGGATATGACTTCTTGAGTCTGATAGGAGTTCTAGCTAAAAGAGTAAGGGGCCGCTGGGGTAGATGCTTTCCTGTAAATAAGTTTGGCAAGCTCAGAGAGTAAGAGCTTTATTGAGATGAGTGGCATTGCTTAGCAAGGAATCCTTTGGTCGCCTAGCATAAGGCGAGCTTCTAGATGGATGCGGGGAAATGACGTCCTCTTATTGGACGAGTTCCTCTGGTAGCTGCGAGTGAGTCCTTTTAGGCATGTGCCCATGAGAAGGAATATCCTTGTCACGACCTGGTCCCTACCTTTGAAAATATTTGAGAAGGCAATTAAGGTTGTTCAATACCTATTTAAAAAGAGTAAAAACAACTCACCTGCAACCCCTCCCCCTCCCTCGTATAGCCCATGCTACTCACGACCTCTCCATCCCCCTCACACTAACTCCTCTTATCCTCTCCCACTCTCTCCTTCTCAGCCTCACTCTCTCTTCCCCATCTCACCCTCCCATCCACTTTTAGTAAAATCTCTAAAGCCCTTAACCCGCTTGACTAGCCGCCTCCACCTTGTTGTTACCGACTCTAAGCTACAAACTCCTACTTGTCATCATTACTGTCAAAATTGTCGCTGTCGTGGCATAGCTGACAAGGTTTAAATAGTAAAAATAAAATATTCATACATTACAATGATGGATGTGTTGATAGAAAACATCTAGCGGAGAGGCCTATGATTTTTAAAATTCCATTAATTTTTTAAGTTAATCATTTAGAGCTTAAATTCTAATAAAATTTAAAAAAAATTATGAATATTTAAAATTATTCAAGCAAAATATATTGCTGAAAAGTTGTCTATCCACCCTCTATAATCATTTGTCGATGGTGATAAATTTGAGAATAACTTTAATTCATAAAGAGCTAGTGTCTTGTCAAGCAAATTGCCTTGATTTATTCTCAAATGATCTATCTTCATTAAGAACGTGCTATGTGTCCTCTAACCAATGGTCATGTCGTCAAACAACACCATAGATAAACGATAATAGCTGGGGCTCACTAATTGGGTAGTTTTGTCGCAAAATGATGCCATTAAATTATGCCCACAGCTAGTGTTTGCAAGTTTCCCAATTGATAAAAAAATATTGAGTAATGAATTATAGGGTTCACTTGATAGGGCATAAAACCTTCTATCAGCTAAATCGAATCAAATTTATTCCCTTAGACAAACATTCACCATAGCTCTATAAGGTTCCATTAGACGAATCAACCTAGGCTATCAATAAGTATCTTTCGGTTAAGTTATGTCGACTAGTTCATATTACCAAGTAAATTAAGGACCATGACAACCTGAGATTCTAGAACTATGGGACATTGATCAGGTTCGTCATCATTCCCACAATCATATGCTTAAAGTGTAAGGTATAAGTTTTAAATCATGTACTAAATCATCTACTACTATATGCTAAGTACTTAGTTTTTAATAATTAGTCTCAGCCAAAAGTTCTCTCTCATCACTGATCACTGTGAGAATAAATAACCATTGGGGTTCACATATTTGAGAAACTTAGAAAGAAACCTAAAACTAAATTATAAAGGCTTAAAAAAAAGAGGGCGCAATCTATGGTAATGTCTTATCTTCAATTTCATATTCCTTTTTTTAAATTGACCCCGTACACCCAAGACTTCTTTAGAAAGGCTAGGGCACAAATTTTAAGGGCCCGCAATATCTCATTATTCTAGTGTTTAAGCTATTATGATAATTTTCTTGAGTGATATTTTCATCTTCAACTAAGATCTTGTTATTTTCCCTTTAAATGCATATAATTTGGTCAAAGTCTTTTGCTCTATGATATTGTCTCAATTATTCTCTCTTTTTTTTTCCGTTCTTAGCATCTAACCTAGTATATAAATTACAAAAAAAAAAGTACCTTTTGCTTTTTTTACCATTCACTTTGCAAGGTTTCTCACTCTTATAATTATTATAAGTGATAGTAGTATTTATCTACTGCCACTATTCAAAGAACAATTTTATTTTCATTGATAACCTTTTAAACCTTTTCATTCAATTACCAAGTCTTCTTATTTATGTATAACTTATTTTTATTTCTAGACTTCTTATTTTTAATTATAATCTTTTTAATGGAGCTAGCTTACTTATCCAACTTCAAATTTGCCACAATTAAGCAACTCCGATATCTCTCTTTTAACAATCTATCTTGAAAGACTTGCTTCTTATGTTGGATCTTAGGCCTTTCTCTTATACTCCTAAGAAATATATCAATGTTTCTACTCTATGTTGTGTGGACAACACATATTATGTATCAATTGTGTATATTATATTATTCAAATATTAATAATGATTATATTTTTAACATTTTTGTATTAAAGATGCAGCATTAGTTGTGATGCCCAAATAGTTCGGATAAGAAGATGATGATGTTACATTAGCATGCAGTTACAATATAGAGTAGGGAGAAATTAAAATAAGAATGAAAATTGTTAAATGCTTAATTTGCCAATCATAAGAATCCACCAGTTAACAATTAGAATGGTCGCATTGAGTTTCCCTCACTCATACTCTTGAGTATTTTCAGCGTAAGAATAATTTATACAATATTAACGATGCCACCACAAGACAATAGGCACTTACCATATTGCTTAGTGAAGAGTTATCCAGAGAGGAGGTAGCTGGTGGTTGATGGAGTATTCGCCACTGAACGGGGAGTTGATGCTCGTCTATGGTGATTGTCAAGGAAAAGAAGATCTGATTGATGTAGTCTTCGACGAAGTGGTCGTTCTCAAAATCGATGTTGAAGAAGGGAGACCAATGAACATCCACTTGTCCTTGAGGGTTGAATATGAATCCATGATTATGCTCGGGGTCAGCCATCCATGGAGAGCAAAAGTTCCTCCAATTTTGGGAGGGGCCTAGGGTGGCTAGTGGCTTGTATGGTGAAATAAGAGAGGAGGGGTTCAAGAGAGGCTATGAGCATTTGAGAATTAAATCCAACAATTATTCCAGAGCTGGGTAATTAATTGGTGGAGTTAATGAGAAAGGAGAGAGGAGGGAATTCAAATTTTGAATTCCCAAGAGAGAGAGAGAGGAGGGGCGGCCCAATGATAGGGCTTGATTGGAGTGAATTGATTGACTTCTATAATTGGAACTTTAAATTAGGAAATGATTTAAGGGCCTTTTAAAATTTAAAATTCAATTTAAATTAATAGAGGGAATTTTCTTAATTAATTCAAAATATAGTGACAATTTGAATTTCAAATTAATTTGAAATCTAAAACTCAAATTTGAGGTTTTCCCAAAATATCTTGAATTAAATTAGGAAAGCAATAATGGGCCATTTGAAATTGGAACCAAGGGGATTGGGTGGTTGGCCGACGACAAGCAGGGGAAATTGGCCGATGGCAAGGTGGGGGAAAGGGACTTGGTCGACTGTGGGGTGGATTGTCTTGGGGTATAGATGAAAGTATTTGGGGGGGGGGAGAGAGAGAGAGAGAGAGAGAGAGAGAGAGAGATGACTCGGCTAGGAGGAGGGAGGGAGAAAAGGAAGGGGAAGGAGAAGCCGAGAGCCTGAACACTTCCTGTGGCTAGTGGGAATTGCTTTGCCCTCACCGAGGGACTTCTCCTCTCTCTAGAGCTTTCAACACTCATGAGAACAAGAATACAAAAATTTCTTATTAATCATCCTTCTACAATAGTGAAAGCCTCCATATATAGGCCTCAAAATAAAAGAAACTCAAAGACTAAAATGCTCTCTGTGTTACAACACAAACTAATCCCTCGTAAGGGTACATCGGTAAAGACTAAAACATAAGCATAAGAAATACATAAAATCCATCATAAATAAAGACAATCGTAGCCGTCGATCTTTGATTCCTCCTGTGATAGACACGCCAGAGTCTCCTGCTGATGTCCTCATCAGTAGCATTGTATGCTGCATCTATTTTGTTAGAGCTATTCATAACCAACGGTTTAAAAATAAATTGAAAATTAGCATGCAAGACAAACTCTCAACACTGGGTGTATATCTGCATCAAATATGAGTGGTATAAATATAATAAACACGGTTTTTGCCTGTTATCTAATTACTTGTATTCAGAAATTCTTATGATCTTATTCGAGTATCTGATATTTTCTGACTACTCGTGTTTCTTTAAATGAGAGAAATAATCTTCAAGGGTTGAACTGTCAGATTATTCCGGTTTCCTTGCTTTTCCCAGGCTTAGCCGATGCTACTGAGATCTGTTGAGAGGCTCAGAATCCTCTTAGAAGTATTTATTGGAGTGATGCATTACTGAATATTATTTATTCTTCCAACCTCATCTTGCGCTTCATTAAAACTGAACTGGAAAGCCCTTAACTGCTCTTGCAGGGTTGCATGGATTCAGTGGATACTGTTATTGGTAATATTCAGAGCCTACTTTTAACAGTTATATGCAGTTCAGTCGGAAAAATACTCAACCAAAAAGTCTCAATTCCTGGAAATTTAAGTCCTACAGATGACTTAGAATGTTGTCTTCTTGTTGATGCTGCTATTGCATTCTGCAAGCTGCAACATCTTCTTCCTTCAGTTCCTGGCAAAGCTCAAGTAATTATAGAAACAGTTTATCTATTAACTTATTGCTTATTTTTTTTCTTCTTGTCGTTGAAATCTCTCACATTTCAATAAAATGAATCATGCCAGGTTGATCTAATTGTTGCTGTCCATGATTTACTTGCTGAATATGGACTTTGCTGTGCTGGTCGGGACATTAATGGAAAAGAAGGGGCGTTTCTCAAATTTGCAATCAAGCATCTTTTGGCCTTAGATATGAAACTGAGATCACTACATGGTAGGTTTGAACTGGAACAAACAAAAAGGTACTTCAACCTTTTTTAAGATTAGAGCAGATATGAATCTTTCTAGTGAATTATATTATCCTTCTTATTTGGATGTAGGTTCGAATGGAAAAGAGGAAATGTTACAAAGAGATGGGCAAGAAGGAGTGAATGCTGATTGTTGCTTACCCAAAGATGGAGTTGAAAATGGAAAGTTTCCTATTGATTTGAACTCTGACTCTACTGGAGAGAACAATGGAGCACTTGCTATTAACGAGATTACTAACCAAACGATAGATACCGAAATAGAAAAAGTGCAGCTGGGTATTGAAAGTGCTTTAGATCAGAGTTTTTTCTGTTTGTACGGCCTTAACATAAACCCAGATTCATCAAGTGAAGATGACTTAGCCTTGCATAAAAATACTAGTCGTGGAGATTACCAGACCAAGGAACAGTGTGCTGATGTATTTCAATATGTTTTACCATATGCAAAAGCTTTATCAGTGCGTAGTTATTTCACTTCTTTGCTATTTTGCTTTATAAACAACTAATAAGCATAAGGATTTGCACCAAAAATCTATAAGCAACTGACAAATATAACAGACCTTTACCAAATTATACTCAATAATTCTGCTGTTGTTTAATTTATTGCAGAGAAATGGCTTGGTGAAGCTTAGAAGAGTGTTCAGAGCCATTCGTAAACACTTCCCTCAACCGCCAGATGAATTATTATTGGAAAATTCAATCTGTAGATTTTTAGATAGCCCCGAGTTATGTGAGGATAGGCTGTATGAATTATCTAGAACTGATGGAAATCATGATGCGGTCATGAATCTACTTTTCATTAATGGTAGATGGTCTGAAATACTTCAAACATCATCAGCTGTTGGGTATTCTTTTCTTTCCATTTGTGAGTCTAGTCGGTTAAATATTTGAAAATGTAATAGTAAATATTTACTCTTTTTGTTTATTATTTTAAAGCAGCTGCAGCTCGGAAACATACATTGAGGTTTATGGAAACTTGTATTACCTTATAGGGCAGGCTGAGGATACTAGTGCTACTGATAAATATCCTGGCTTTGTACTAAAAAAGGAAGGTGAAGAATTCGTTGAACAAAATGCCAATCTTTTCAAATTTGATTTACTGTACAATCCTTTGCGTTTTGAGAGCTGGCACAAGCTTGCTACTATTTATGATGAGGTGAGAGCTATCACTGCTGTTCTATCCTTACATTTTGAGAATTGACAAGTTTTCTAATATCTTTTGTTTCTATGCTTGATTGACCTATAAGGTTCATATATGCTTGGTAATGCATTTATGATGTCACTTGATGGTGGAATTTTTCTTGTCTTGAAAGCAGGAAGTGGATTTGTTGCTAAATGATGGAAGTAAACACATAAACATTATGGAGTGGAGAAAGAATGCTACTCTGCCTCAAAGAGTTGAAATTGGCCGAAGGCGTTGCAGACGATGTTTACTAATGAGTTTAGCTTTAGCTAAGACTTCAGATCAGCAGGTTTCCTTTTGTGTTTCTGTTTTTCTAGCTGATTGATTGTGGCTTTTTTATAATAGAAATCATGCATTTTTTTTAATAATAATTGTCTATCCAGAGCCAAATACATGAGTTGCTTGCACTAGTTTACTACGACAATATCCAGAATGTTGTTCCATTCTATGATCAAAGATTTCATGTGCCTAAAAGGGATTCAATATGGAGGGCTTCTTGTCAGAATTCGATGAAACATTTTGAGAAGGCGTTTGCACTCAAGTAATTAGCTCTTGCTTACTGGTAATTCCTTTATTTTAGATTTTTACTCAATTATGATTTGATCTGATGAAATTTTTTCTTCACAATTTGTAGGCCTGATTGGCTTCCTTTATTTTACTTGGGAAAGCTCTGTGAAAAGCTGGGATATTCACATGATCAGGCTTTTTCATTTTATAGTAAAGCTGCTTCCTTGAATCCTTCTGCAGTTGATCCTGTATATAGAACACATGCTTCACGCCTAAAGTTGCTTTATGCTCATGGGAAAAGAAATTTAAGTGTTCTTCAGGTCTGTCATAATTCATTGTTCCAATTTCTTGTTCATTTTCACCTATCTTCTTAGGCACTTGATATGGCATTTATTGCACGCATCTGTGAATACAAGCCTGTGTCTAAAGTAGGGTTTTAATCTTTATTTTCAGTAGTCCATATGCTCCTATTCCTTATATGGCTTGCCTTCAATATTCGTCAAATATATTCTCATACAGTCCCCATTCCATATTAGCTCAATCTGATACGATTGTTTCTTATTAGATACTATTCAACACTATTATAATCTCCCAACAGATTCACTTGATGGATGTCTTATGTTGTGCCTCATTTTGAGCTAATCATGAGCAAACATATATATGTCTGCAATGAATGAAATATAAATGTATAGTTCCAATCATTTAATGCTAGTACCAAAATACTTGTTTGCCTTCACTTTTTAATTTTTTATGCTAGTGTCATCTAATATCTTCTTAGATTGACATATTTAGATATTATATCATTGTCACTAGGCCTGTCATCCTATAATAATCATTGATAAGAATTTGACTTGCTCCAACGTAGCAGTTATCAAACAATACCTCTACAATGGTTGGAATCGTTGGATTAATCTAACTGCTTGTTATCGAGAGTTTGAAACCGACTTTGACCCTTACTGAGACTCATCTTTGTCGGCCTCGAAAATTTGCGATCGGCTCTTCTCTGAGAGTTTGTATTATGTTGCATCAGGATTTAATGAAAGAATTAAACTCTTCAACCTATTTATTTATATCTCATCCCCAACACAAAAATGACCAGAGCCAGCTAAACAATTTAAATCAATATTAATAAGCTAAAATATCATCAAAATTCATTCCTCTCAAAATTATATGCACTATAATCCAGTTCCATCGGTGACTATACATTAAAATAAATAACTAAATGACCAACATACCTCAAAACTCGATCTCGACAGATCTGTCCTTATCAACTTCACTTCACTGGGTCTTTTCCTTTAGAAGTTTCACAAAATGAGCACCATTAGCTCATTTATTCCCATCGCAGATATCAATGTCCATTAATATATCAATAATAATTTATTGAAATATTCAATTAATCAGTTAAAGTATAACTGAAATGCAAACAAAAATAAACTTCTTAAAGTTATCAGAGTGCACTTAGTTTTGAGTGTTAAAATATTGTTTAGATTTGATTATTAATTTTTTTATCGAGTTCGAGCAAAAATTGAGCTTTAATCAAGCCCAACCAATTATATATTTGATAATAATGATTTAAATGTATAAATGGATTTGTAGATTTTAATAAAAAATTAGCATAATTCATCATGTGCTATTTAAGTTATTTGGTGAAATGTAAATAATAATAATAGAATATTTAAATCTATCTTTCTAGATAATTTTTTGATATCTCATCGTGCATATACATCTAATAATATACATATTTTTTGGAACATGTATACTAGAAAATTTGATTCAATAATATAGAATAAATCATCAAATAAAAAAATTAAATCATCATGAAATGAGTCTTTTATTGTATTTTTAGCAAGTTATTTGTTAAACAATAAATTAGCAAGTTGAAGAACGTAAATGAGCAAGTGAGTCAATTTGTAAATTTGTTCATTTATTTGGCAAGCATTTCAATAAAAAGTTGTTTGAACTTGTTTAATTATGTTAATAAATGAACATAAACAAATATTAAATGAACAAGTATGGAATTGTTCATCGATTGTACTTGTTCTGTTATAGCACTAGTCTTACTATGTGATGGTAGTGTTCATAATTAATATGAAGTTTAGTTAAATGAATATAAATAAGTTCAAAATATATGATATAATTTATCATATTGCATTTAAAAAATACAGTGAATCTATTGGGATCAAAATCCAAACCAAATTATTAAGTATGAGATCATTATGCATATTATCATAATTTTGACCTAATTTTTATAATTTAAAAAATTAAGTGAAATTTATGAAGCCTTTAGAATCAGTTAAATTTGCTATAATGTAAAACACTTAATTAAAGAATATTGAAGATATTATTATTCAGCTTGTTTTTTTTTTTAAAATTAAGTGATTAATGGTATAATTAATAAAATTAAGCATATAAGATAAATTTAATGTATACAATTGATAACTTGAGATGAATTAAACTATTTAATATATATACCTTATCGACATCATGATGATAATCCAATTAAACATATAATCACTAAATAAAATACTATTTAAGATAGTTTCACAATTAAATAGATAGAGAATCAATCATATAAATAGAAAATTCAAATTAATTAAATTTTTTATTGTTTGCAAGCTCTAAAATACATTTAGAATAATATAGATGAATTTCAGTTGTGTGTTCATCATCTTGAGGCATTTGGCAAATCAAACTTAATCAATAAACAATTAATACTGATTACACATAAACACTAAGCAACCTAAATCTTGAATTTCCACTCTGCCTCCTTGAATGGGTTAGAATGAGCATCTTGAGATTATTTTCAAGTGGCCAAAGCTTCCAGATTCTTGCTGGAAATCAAATTTCATCTTGATGGTTGCTAGATATCCTGAAATGAAACACTTAGAAAACTATTATATGACATTACATAAGCTTTATTATTATTAAATCAATAGTGAACTTCACATTTGTCATGCATGCTCATGGGTTACTGTTATGTGGGGAAACCTTTTATTACTGTTGAGATTGTGTTCCAGGTAGTTGCTGCATATGCCTTCAATCAAGAAGCAAAAGAAAAGATCCTCAACATGTTCAGTTGGACTTCCCAGGATCTTCTAAATTTTGATGGCATGAAAGATACAGCTCCAAAAAATTCAAAAGACAAAGTGAACTCTGAAATTCTGTTGGATGAGGCATGGCATGTACTCTATGATGATTGCCTGTGTGCTTTGCAGATTTGCGTGGAAGGTGAACTAAAACACTTTCACAAGGCAAGGTACATGCTTGCCCGGGGATTTTACAGGAGGGGTGAGTCTGGGGATCTGGAGAGGGCAAAGGATGAACTCTCCTTCTGCTTCAAATCATCGCGGTCAGCTTTTACCATAAACATGTGGGAGATAGATGGTGCAACAAAAAAGGGCAGGTGCAAATCCATCATATGTGGTGAAGTTGAATTGTTTTGTTTGGAATATATACTTATCAGCTGTTCTTGATTTTTGGCAACGATTGGTTTCTGTGGAGCTTATTTCCTTCAATCCTCTGTTCTGCAACTAATTGTTTTCTTCTGTTATCAGACGGAAATATTCAGGTCATGGTGGAAATAAGAGGAATCTTGAGGTTAGCTTGTCAGAAAGTTCTCGAAAATTTATTACTTGCATCCGGAAGTACATTTTATTTTATTTGGATTTGTTGGGAAGGACTGGAGACTTATCTACTCTAGAGAGAGCTTATACTTGTTTGCGGACTGATAAGAAGGTATGTATGAATGAGAAAAGAAAAAAAATCATGAAAGTTCTTTTTTAATCCTTTGTTTGTAACATAATACCCTATAGTTGGCATTATTGTTATTGCACCATTCCTGATCTAAGATATTTGTCCCTTGCAGTTCTACTTGTGCCTGTGCGATATTCTCCCAATAGCTATTGGAAAGTATGTTCAGGTTTTGGCATCTTCAATTCGTAATGCTGGGGCTGTCGGATCAATTGATAAGAGTACTCTTGAGCAATTGTTGGAGAGAATGTTTAACTTAATCATCGATCATGTGAGCATTTTGGCAGACTTCAGTGGTTTACCTGAGGTGAATAGCCCTGAAATATCAGAGGCAAATTTGTGTGGGTAAGGAGCACATTTATAGTAGAACACTTCTTTTTTTTGGGTTTTAATCACCTCGTTAAGCTGGTCTTGATTGTTTCAGTTATATTCACCAATATATCGACTTACTGGAAAGCGATATCCGGTTGGACGCTCTCGAAGGAATTCATGAGAAGATCCGCAAGCGATTCAAAAACCCCAAACTGTCTTGTACTAACTTTGCAAAAATTTATAAGCATGCTTCTTTGGCTTGGTGTCGAGCACTTCTTATGAAGCTTGCTTCAGTAACCCCCATTCCTGATGGTGGTTACTCAACTGAACAGAGTCATCAGATCGGTGCTTGGGAGAATGACCTTCTACTTTATGTTGATCTACAACCAGATGAATTTTTCAGTACAACATTATTAGAAGGTTTTACGCATTCCAAAGGCCTTGATTTGAACTGGTACCAGATTCTATCAAAAATCAAAGATGTTTGTGTCAGACAAGCATCTGAAGAGAACCTGGAGGCCTTAGCTGCTCTCATGAGATGTTCCTACAATTTTTTCCGAGAAAGCTCATCTGCCGCACTCCCATCTGGCATCAATCTATACACAATTTCTTCATCACAAGCTCCAGTTGATGGACTTCTCACCCCAGAAAGCGCAAAGATTGAATTCCTTGATCTTAGTATACCAAGGAAGCTGCTCTTGTGGGCTTACACTTTGTTCCATGGCCGATATGCAAATATCTCGACTGTTTTGAAGTTCTGTGAAGAAAATGCAAAGGTACGCCAGAAACTTAACACAATCCTATACTGAACAAAAAAAATAACAAAAGTGCTCCATCTTAATTCATGAAATTCTCGGGACACAGTCAAGGATGAGAAGGGGAGCAGCAGCATCACCAATTATTCCACAGGGCAATGTACCTGTTGCTGCTGTTGCTGCAATTCATGCAGGTTCATTTCACTCTTTCTCCTAATTCTTGTAACTTCTAATTCATTTTGCATGGTAGTTATGGAAATAAAGTTGTTAATGATGATACTGCCAGTTGAAATCGAGGACAACCCATCTGTTTCCAAGTCTCCTGCCCTACATCAAGAGGATTCTGCAAGCATTTCAAATGTGTTTCTTGCCTTAAATGAAGTTCCAAAGTCCTCAGATACAGCTCTTCCAGTTCCATCTATTGTAGCTCTTCCAACATCACAGCTCAATCGGTGTAATTCAACTAAGGGCCCAGAAAATGCCCAGCAGGACATTAATTAAAGGAAAAAAAAACGCAGATTTTGCTGTCAATCAAGCCTTTAGCAATCCTATACGTCTTTACATTCCATTTGACTATTGTTCTCATTCGGATTAGAAGATCAAAGTGAGGGACTAATAAGTAGAAAATCAATGAGATTCATCCGGGAGAATATTTTCTGAATCCATGGAGCTCTTCCTTCTGGAGTTTATCAGCTTCAAGGTGAGGAATCTAAGCTTCTTTAGTTGTATAAAGGTTATGTAGATGTTTATCTTAAATCCTCATCATGAGTTCTAGGAAGAGAAGGTTTTGTAAGCTTCTTTTAGTTGCTTAAGGTTGTCAGTTCGATCAGATTTGAAAATTGGATTCATATTGAGCTGGCTCAAGTCGGTTTGGTTCGATGGAAAATCATTGAACTAGTATTGATTTTATAGAACCAGCTGATGCGGTGTAGGCTTTCATGCATTGTTGATTTAAAGCTCATTTTGTGCTTAAAAGGCAGCTCGTATGAGCTCGAGTGAAGCTTAATGAGCATAAAATATTTAATTTAATAGGTGTTATAGAAGTTAATAACATAATTTTTTTATATTTTAATTATTGAAACTTTTTATTTTTTGATTGAGTTCTTCCTTTCTATTAAAGACTCCACCGGATTCATTGTAACAATTTTAACATAAAAATCCTATCATTGGGGTTATGCTTCGTTTGGGATAATTTTTTTTTTTATTATTTAAATTAGTTTTTTAGCATAAAAATTTTTTATGCTAAAAAGCAGTTTTAAATAGTAATAAGAAAATTTTCTCAAAACAAAATTTAAAATTTATTTGTGATAGTTTTTTTTTTTTTAAATAGTTTTATAATACATTTTCTTAGTTCAAAAAATTTGTCCCAAAAAGTAGTAAGAAAGCTGTTTTAAGCAATCTAATTTTTTTTGTTATTATTTTTTTTAAAAAAATTATGCTAAAGTTATGTTTTCCAGCACATGGTGTTATGAAATAGCGTATGGATACATATATGATGAGGCGTTAATTTTAATGCAAAACACACATCTCAAAGTAATTTTTATCATTCCAACACATGGTGTTTATACTATTATGTGCATCTTAGGCTTCATTTGAGAGGGCTTTCTAACTGTTTTTTTAAATAATTTTTTAGTATAATTTTTTTTAATTTTTGTATTAAAAGATTATTTTGAAAAGCAATAAGAAAATCATCTCAAATAAATCTTTTGATTAAAAAAAATATATATATATATATATCAATGATACACAAAAAATATTAAATAGTCAATACAATCATTTAAAAGATAGTTTTATGATCAATAATGTATAGGATTCCTCTAATTTATATCCAAAATTAAACTAATATAAGCACATATAAATCTCATCATTTTTAATAAAATTCTTATTACATTAGTCCTAAAAGCTGCATTGTTAAAGTAAGCCATTAAAATTTTGGTGTACACAATCGCACCCCCCTTCTTTAGGTAGTAGGAGAAAATTGGAGTTTAGAAAGGTAGATCTTGTAATATCGTTCGTCGAAAATTCAGATAATTTTCGTTGATGATTATTAATTTTAAATTGATTAGCAACTATCCTTCTTAGAATGTTTAAAGAAGTTTTGAATAAGTCAAGAAGTGGATTGGAGAAGTAAAATTTCAAGTGAGCAAAATTACTCTGTGGTCATCACAGCGTCAGGATTGAGAGTGCCGCATCATTGAGCTCTAGGGAAAATAATGTGTGCCGCGACACTAGGTGGCCTAGCACTGTTGAGAGATTCTTTGGTAGTGAAGTGCCGCTGGAAACTTAAGCACTACTAGCCGAAAAGTTGAGCTCAACGGTGCTAGGCCAAGTTAGTGGATTTAAAATATAGAAATATATAAAATCATTGGCCATTTAGTTTTTCACCCAACCCATTGCCGGGGAAGAAATGAAGAGAAGGAGAGGAAAGAGAAATGAGAGAGAGAGAGAGAGAGAGAGAGAGAGAGAGAGAGAGTGTTTGGCATATCATTGAATATATTGTGATATGGAGAAACGTGCACTCCCTAATACTTTACAAAGGCCATATATGTCCTCTTATGGCCCCATTTGTCTGGTGTGAATGCGTGAGAGATTCTAGTCCCATTTGTTCAAAGCAGGGGTTGAGAGGCTATGTGACACGATTATGTTCTGATTATGACCCCACTTGCTATAAGCAGGTGTGGGAGATTAAAGAGAGTCATAAGTATAAATGAAGTTGTAAGAAGATATCAAGACATGTGCATTATATTCATTATATTGCATATATTGATATTTTCAGTCAATTAAGCAAAAATGATGGTCTAAACCAAATATTAGAAATATCTGAATAAACGAGCAAGTTAAGGGCAAGTGAAAAACAAAAGTTTTGTAATGTATCTGGATGCTTATGTGAAAATAGTTATAAGTATAAATGATAACTCTAAAATCAAGTATACATTGGAACCCTAGTGATTTAGATTTTGTTTACACTTTAATTACTCTTTACAAGCCTTTATATTTTCTTTAATCAATTGTTATTTAATATTTGAATTTGGATATTGATATATGTGATGGGTCACGAAAAGAATTCTACCGAGTCAATTATGTTCTTTCTGATAATTTAGGCAAATGTAAAGGCTTAGTGGAGTAATACAGTGTAAAAGCAGGACTTTTCTGTCTAAGTGGCTAAGGTATTTTTTGTAATTCAATTTTAATTGTTTATGATATATAGATAGTTGGAAGTTTAATGATCATTATATTTATGTTTTGATGAAATGAATCATATAAATTTGCTTTTATAATTTGGATTTTAGTAGCTCTGATTATTTTTTATTGACGCATGACGTAATTAATGATATGTTTAAATGATTCAATTCTTCTTTTAGATCCTAGGGCATCACATATTTAGTTGGACTAGCTCTATTTAAGGGGTGGATGGTTAATTATGGGTATTACAATTAGCTCATAATGACAATCCATAAGTAAGATATGATGCAACATCTTGAGTTCATAAACACTTGTTGGCGCATCAATGGCCCAAGTTCTCTTAATTCAATATATTAGCTGACTTAATTGGGTTATCCTCTAACAACATATAGAGAGAGTTGTAGGCACAAGTGCGCGATGATTAAGGTTATTTGTCGTGCGCGATGCTGAAGAAGACGAAGGTCGGTAAGATGTGTGTCGTCGTGCGAACGTGATGGATATTTTGGAAAATTTTCTTCCGAAACTCCGATTCGTAACTGAATAAGCAGATACAAAATAAATTTTCTAACCGAGAAAAAACGAGGTTTACTAAAACGGAATTATGAATAAGTTGCAATTCCAAACAATTAACAATAAATGATGCCGGCTTATGCAAATGAAAAGCTGAGAAATTAAGTCTAATCAAACGAGCCCTTAGTTTAGTTAGTAATATAATGTAATCAATAAATAAATAAATAGTTAGATTAATTGAGAATTAAATTATATTTTAATTATATTATTATAATTATTAGTTATTAATGATAATTAAAATTAGAATTGATGATTTACTCCTAAATTATTAAAAATATAATCAAGATTAATAAAAAATTTTATAATATTTAATTATAATTCTATTCAACATATTATAATCTAACAAATTAAATTTGTATATACAGTGAATTAACCGACTTAAACTTTTGAGTTGTATTGCTCAATACTCTCATAGGATTTATCAGAATTTAACATTTTTTTGTGAAACAATTTTTATGATTTAACACTCTCAAAACAAATATCATTTTTAGAATCCTTATTTAGTTATACATCTAGTGAAAATCTAAACATCATTTGACCCAAGGCTTATTCTATTTCATATATGCATTTAACTAGTGCAATATTAGGTAGTCTTGTCATACCCATCATCAACGCCCAAGTGACCCAGCACTGCTGCACCGTATGTCATTCCAAAGTTATTGTAGAACAGGGAGATATGATGTTGAGACACCTCTCTGGCGCTTCTCAACGCCGCTGTGCCCGAAAGCACATGTCGCAACGCTTCATATAATTTTTTGAAAAATATTGAAATTCATGATATTTAAAATTAAGGTTGTCATATATAAGAAGAAACAAAAAAAATTCTTTCCTCATAGTTGAAAAAAAAAGAGAACTATTTGAGAATAAGTTGTCTGATTTCTCTTATGTGGTTTAATAGAAATCAAGTGTCTACAAATGGACAACACCCAACAATAGTGCTTGATTTCTCCAAGAGGGATTATAGAAAGTAGCGATTCACAGACGGACAAGAACACCCAATAGCAGAGTTATATCTTGTCAGAATTTTGGAGATGGTGGTGATTATTGACAATAATTGCTGGCAACGATGGTGGTTATCAATGATCATAGCTGGTGGTGTCGTCGATGATGATAGTTGGAAAATATAAGAGAGCTATCTAGTTCTCTCATTTCTCCTCCTCCATATAAAGAATGAGTCTCTATTTATACTTTTTTGAGATGAGCATTTTAGTAATTTAAACCAAAATCCAACACCATCCTATGACCTATATTGATTCCCTTAATTAAAAAGCATTTATTCAACATTTAAATGCCTTGATAATGTCAAAATTAAATGATTTTTGGCTAGTTTGATTCATTTCATTGATTCGACTATAAACATGTATAATTAAAAGATTATTTGATTATTTAATTATTATTTGAAGTTTTCAATCATACTTAAAGTGTTTGATTTAATCCCTAATTGGATCACCCTTGATATAGTTGAGTTCATATCATTGAGACGTTTAATTCGAGTCTGAATTTGTTGAAATTAGAGTTCATATAATTTTAATTTAATTTCAAAAATTTTCAATTTTATCTTGAGACTCATACCAAAATAGTTTATAAAATCATGACTAAATGACTAAAATATAAAAAGGTCTCAAAAGTTTTATATGATAAATAAATTTAAATAATTTGGACATGTATAATAAAGAAGAGAAAATATAGCTATTAGATAAGTTGAAAAAATTAATAACAAAATTAGAAATAGAATGGATTAATCTAAGTTTACATATATAAAAAATTATTCAAAATGATTTTAAAAAATAAATTTAAAATCCTAAAAATAAACATAAAAATAATGATTCTCCAAATACTTCGGATAAGGCTATGCTGCTGCTGCTGTTGCTTAAATTAAGATCACAAAAAATATATACTACACGAAATACATATGCTAAAATGCTAAAATCAAGATATGACACATGCGAGCAAATAAATCCCAAGAAATTTACAAAGAAAAAATCACAGGAAGGAATAAATCTAGCAGATCTTAGGCTTCGTTTGGGAAAATCAATTAGAACGCGACACATCATTTTTTTGATCGGTATCAATGCTTTGTACCGCTGTGTACCAGATGACGTGACGCATTTTGGATGGTCTCTGAACCGTCGGGTGTCTGCACAAAATAAAGTCTCTAGTTTGGAAGTATTTGGCTACTATTTTTTTTGCTAAGTTCAAAAAAATTGTATTAGAAAAAATGTTTTTGAATTTCTGAATTGTCCTAATAAAATGGTTTGAAATTTGCTCTCTTTCATCTAACAATACCTGATAAACTAGCTCACATAAAACAAAAAAACTTCGAACGGATAGATCAGAAAGCACTCAACAAAAGAAACAAACATTCTTTCCACAATATATACTACTCAATGAATCACAGGACCTCAAACTGGAGGCCATGAACAAGTTGCATAGACTAAAAATGATGAGAGTATTCAAAACCAGCAAGTCAAATAAAAAAAAATTACATCTCCACCAATGAGCTAAAGAATTATCTCAAGTAAGAAGGAAAACATATAGAACAGAGTGTGAGCGAAATCGCTTACTCAGTAATCACAATGAGCTATCAGGCCTTTGCTTCACCAAGCTCATCATTTTTGGTATTTGAATTCTCCACTCCCTCCCTCAAGAGACGAATCTCCTCTTCAGTTAGGCTTGTTTTGGCATAAGCAATCCTAGAAAATGCCTGCTTCTCAATCTCAACCGCCCAGCTATATACAACCATGCCGATGACAGCGAGAGCCATTCCCATTATGTTTTTAAGCGTGAGTTGTGAATCAAATAGTAACCAGCCAAGAGTAAGCACACAGACAGTTTTCATGTGGCCAAGAACCTGGAATGATACTGCTGAGAAGCGCCCGATGCAGAGGTATTGGCTAATGTTGCAGAAGACAGCAAGGGTGCATGAGAGAAGAGTGAAGAGCTGTAAAAACATATATAAAGTTTAGATTTTTGTCTCCATGGGAAAATAGCAATGGGAAAGTTAATTGAAGAACTTACAATTGATCCTGAAGAAAACTTGTAGTCGAGGATGGATTTGCCGTTGAGGTAGTAATCAATGAAGGGACCCAGAATTACAAGGGAAAGAGCCTGTATTGGAGCTGTTTTGCTAAGTAGTTCAAAAGAACCAATTGAATACTTCTTCTGTAAGGAGCCGATTGACTGCACGATACGGAAGAACAAAGTAATAAAAATCATGCATGTAATATAAGAGGAAAAAACAAGGTTTAAGTCTGCATGGGACATAATAAAATTGAAAGTAAACAGAAAACCCATTTCATGAAACTGTTTTAAGAAGAATAGCATGCAATAATATTTAGCACGCAGAGATTATTTGAAACAAGGAGTAACTTTTCACCTGCTAATGAGGAACTTAAAAGCTATTATTATTCTAATTAATGATGCAACAATGATTGAAGCTTTTTAAACAAAAACATTAAGATCATGTGATTCTCTAAGAAAATAAAATCAAAATCCTACAAATTTGCACTAGGTAACCAGTAGGCGCACTGAAGAATTTTATATTGGGTCAACTCTCTTAGTTTTGTGTGGAATATAATTGTGTTGATCAATCGGATGTTGCCCAGTGCTATGTCTGAGCATCTAAATTGTTGTGTACCCGAACACCTAGGCGACACTTTTCTGCAAAATCAATAGAGGGTGGAGCACTATAGCCCTCTATATTCGGCGCCGTAGCACTATCAGGCGGATTGAATGATAAGCTAGAAGTTTATTTTTTTCTCGTTTTTTATTAAGGGTGGCATCCCTTGGTGGTTTGTATTATATCTCTTTATTTGTTCTTATGTAAGAACGGTGGAAGAGAGAAAAAGCAAGAAGAGAGTGAGAAAGAAGAGAAATTTGTACAAATTTCTCACATTTTTTTATAATAGATTTCTTGGTGAGGTGAGGCTCTTTATTTTTTTTCCCGGATTCGAGTTTTTCCACGTTAAATCCTGGAGTTCATTTATTTTCATTGCATTTTTATTTCTTTTTTTTTTCGCTACAGTGTTTTACTTCACACCCACAACAACTGGTATCGGAGTCAAATTCATCAGTTCGAGTTGGAGCAATGGCTGATGAAGCAAGATACAAGAATTAGAAATTCAACTGTTCAAAATTCGCATTCTAGAGGATACAAATTAAAGATTTGTTGTATCAGAAGAAGATGTATTTACTATTGTAAGGAACACCAAGAAGCTAGATTCTATGACTATGGAGTGGGAGGTTCTTGATAGGATTGCCCTAAGTTTGCTACAATTTCACTTTCCTTATATGTTGTATTCAACATTGTAAATAAGAAGATTACAATCGATCTATGGCTGCGCTAACTAAGATGTATGAGAAGTTGTTGGTCTCAAATAAAGTGTTCTTGATGAAGAAGTTATTTAATATGAAAATGTTTGGTACCATTTCAATGGTAGAACACCTGAATAATCTGAATACTATAATGAGTTAGTTGTGTTCAGTTGACATCAAATCTGATGATGAGGTGAGAGCGTTACTACTATTATCTTCATTGCCAAAAAGCCGAGACTAACTTGTTACTGTTGTGAATAACTCTTCAGGAAATTCAAAGTTGAACTTTGAGGACATTGTGGAATTAGTGCTAAATGAAGAGGTTCGCAAATGGGCGAGTGGTGAATCTTCAAATTCTATGTTGAATGTTGAAGTCGGAGGAAGAGGTTTAGAGAGAAATCCAAATAGAGGAAGATTTAAATCCAAGATAGGAAAGTCTACTTCAGATAGAAAGAAAGTTGTGTTGGAATTGTGGAAAGAATGGTCACTTAAAGAAGAACTGTATAGTTCCAAAGAAGGGTAGTGATGGAGGTCAAAACAAAAATCTTTCTGCAAATGTATTTGTAGAAGAGTTCCAATCAGATTCTCTGATTTTTCCTTTGAAAATTTTTTAATTTTAGGTTATAAATTCAGATGCTTCATTTCATGCAAGTCGTAATAAGGAGACATTCAAAAATTATACTCAATATGTTGAATCAGAATGTCAGATGGATGAGCATGAGTACTAATGTGTATCTAACCATAACCTAACCCAAAAGGTGGCTCAATTGCTTGGAATGCCACATGTGTTGCTCCTCCCGATTTCACTGAGTCACCTCATGATGAGACCGTCCCATCCTCTTTATGGACTTCTCAATAGGTCTATTTTTTCTGGATAAAGGTCTCCTCATATGTCCTATGGGTAAGTCACATGGCATTTCTCATCAAAATAGAGTTGGTTGGCATGGTTTTGAGACCCAAGGATGTTAGGCATGTTTCTTGTCTGAAGAGGAACTTAGTTTCTGGGAGTCAGCTTGCAAACTCAAGTCATGTGACATCATTCACAAGAGATATGCGGAAGATGACAAAAGGGGCTATGTTTATAGTTTATGGCAGTATTTAAGCACCATATATGCTATCAACAAAAGATCAAATGCTTGAGTAGCTGATTTAGATATTGATAGAGGGCTTTGGAATGAAAAGGCTTGGTCATATGAGTAAGAAAGGTATTTTGTGAAGACTGTGTATATGACAAACAACATAAGGTGAATTTTTTAAATACCGGTTTAAAGGTCAAGTCAAAGAAGTTAGAGTTAGTGCATACTGATGTATGGGGTCCTGCTCTAGTTACTTATACAAAAAGATTTTTGTATTTTATCACTTTTATTGATGATTATAGTAGAAAGGTATACATGTATTTCTTCAAACACAAGTCAGTTGTGTTTAATATTTTCAAGAAATGGAAGGCCATGGCTGAGAATGAGATAGATTTAAAGCTCTAGTGTCTTAGATCTAATCATGGTGACGAGTATCGTGATAAAAAGTTTAAAGAGTACTGTGCTTTGAATGAGATCAAGCATGAGTTTACTATTCCAAGAATACCATAGCAGAATAGTGTTGCAGAACTCATGAATAGAATTATCACTGATCATGCCAGAAGCATGAGGTTGCATGCAGATTTACCCAAATAATTCTAGTAGAGGCAGTGAATATTATTATTTATCTGATCAATCATAGTCCTTTAATTCCTCTGAATGAGGGGTTACTGAGGAAGTCTGGAGTTGCAAGGAGGTAAGATTATCTCACCTCAAAATTTTTGGTTGTTCATCCATGTTTATATGATGCAGGATATAAGAGTAAGCTTTCCAAAATTTATGAAGTGTACATTTATTAGATATGACTTAGATAAATTTGGCTATAAATCTTAAGATTATCAGAATAAAAATTCAACAGGAGCATGGATGTTAAATTCAATGAAAATAAAATATACAAGAATAGAAATGAGAATCCTATATATATATATAAATATGTTGAGATTGAGGATGATAATGATAAAGAAGATAAAGCTGATGAAGCACATAGAGTACCTTAGACAGCTGCTAGCTGCTACTAAAGTTAAGAGATCCAACAGAATCTCAAAGTCAATACAAAGGTATTCTCCTTCTTTATACTATATATTGCTGATAAATAGTCGTGAACTAGAGTGTTATGATGAGGCCACTAAAGTTAATTATTCAAATAAGTGAGAGCAAGCCATAAATGATGAGATGCATTCACTTGAGTTGAATTAAACTTGGGATTTGACACAGCTATCAGATGGCAAGAGAGCACTGCAGAATAAGTGAGTTTACAAATTAAAATAAAGAACCCGATGATAGTAAGCGCTACAAGGCCAAACTTGTAATTAAAGATTTTCAACAAAAGGAAGAAGTAGACTTCATTGAAAATTTCTCACTAGTAGTGAAGATGGCTACAATTAGATTTATATTAAGCATGGTAGCAATAAAGGATTTATATTTAGAGTATATGGATGTAAAGACAACATTTCTTCATGGTGATCTTAAAGAAGAATTGTACATGATACAACCTCAAGGATATGTGGTCTAAAGTAATTAAGATCTGGTGTGTAGGCTCAGGAGGAGCCTATATGGGCTGAAGTAGGCACCAAGACAGCGGTACAAGATATTTGATATGTTTATGTCACATAATAAGTACACAAAGTGCTAGACAAATCACTATTGTTATTTCAAATATTTTGAAAAATGTTGGATGACATGTTGGTTGCAGGATCATATATAGAGAACATAGGATGTTTGAAGGAACATTTATCAAAGAAGTTTGAAATTAAAGATTTTGGTCCAGCAAAAAAAAATCTCGGTATGAAAATCAGTAGGGATAGAAGTGCATATATACTGAAATTGTCTCAAGCTGGGTTATCTGAAAGGGTACTGCATAGATTCAACATGAATGAGACAAAACCAGTTTGCACTCCCTTGGGTAGTCATCTTAAGCTATCTAAGGAACAATCACCAAAATCTGATGTAAAACAAGAACATATGGAGAGGACTCCATATGCTTCAACAATTGCAAGTTTGATGTATGTAATGATCTGTACGAGACCTGATATAGCATATACAGTGGGATTAGTCAGCAAATTTATGAGAAACTCAGAAAACTTCATTGGGAGATAATTAAGTGGATTCTGACATACTTGAGAATCAGTTGGAAAAGCACTTTGATTTGGAAATGCAAAAATTGATTTACAGGGGTATGTAGATTTTGATCTTGCTGGAGATCTTGATGGTAGGAGGAACACAATAGATTATATCTTCATTTTGGGAAAGAGTTCAATAAGCTGAATTTCTAAGTTACAAAAGTTTGTTGCGCTCTCAATCACAAAAGCTGAGTACATTACTAGCACTGAGACTAGTAAGGAGATGATATGGTTACAATGTTTCATGATTGAACTTGGCAAGGGCAGAGGAATGGAAAGTTGCATAGTGATAGCATAAAGCTATCTATCTAGTCAAGAATGTTGCCTTCCATGCCATGAAAAACACATCCAGTTTCGATATTATTTCATCAGATCGATTCTGAAAGATGGTCATTTATCTTTGGAGAAGATACACACGACTCATAATCCTACATACATGCTGATAAAGACGATAATAGTTGATAAACTGAAGCGATGTGTAGCGTCAGTTGATCTTCATGGAGGATGAGACTAGGGGTGAGCCGCATTATATGTACTATGATTGGTATTACAATAGAGAGAATGATTGATTACAATCAGTTTCCAAGTGGGAGATTATTAGTTCTGTGTGGAATCTAATTGTGTTGATCAATTAGGTGTTACCCAATCCTGCGTTTGAGTGCCCCAATATTGTGTGTCCGGGCGCCCCGACGATGTTTGCCAGAGCGCCTCAATGTTGTGTACCCAATCGCTTAGGAACTTGATAATTTTCTGCAAAATCAACAGAGGGAGGAGCACCACAACACTCTATTTTTGGCGCCATAACACTATCAGGCGGATTGAATGATAGAGGCTAGAGTGTCGCAACACTCCAAACTGGTACCACAGTGCTGCGAGATAGGCTAGAAGTTTTCTTTCTCGTTATTCATTAAGGGTGGAATCCCTTGGTGGTTTATATTGTATCTCTTTGTTTGTTCTTGTGTAAGAACGGTGGAAGAGAAGAGAGAAGCAAGGAGAGAGCGAGAAATAAGTGAGATCTATACAAATTTCTTCTCTTTTTTTATAATGGATTTCTTAGTGTAGTCTGGCTCTATGGTTTTTTTTCTCAGTTTTGAGTTTTCCTATGTTAAATCCTGGTGTTCTGTTATTTCTGCTTCTTTCCTATTTCTTATTTGTTTCATTGTGGTGTTTTACTTCACACCCCCAGCACACTCAATTTTTAGAAATATTTCATAGATACCCTTTGTGCGTTAACTGCTCATAATCTATTTAAAAGTTGAGGGACCTCGATATAATTTCACCAAAAGCAATCATATACAGCAGTAATTTCCAATTGAGCAACTTTCCTAGACTTTCTTTTTACATTTCTTTCCAGGCAGGGCTCATTCTCTCGGCTCACCTAAGTTAGAATGAAATAATGCAGTCAAGCTTTAATTTCCTAAACTTTTGCAACATAATATCACATTGGACTATCGGAGCTGTTTTTTTGCTGTATATAGTTGCAAATGGCATAGTTGTATCTACCATATAAGAGAAAATTAAAAAATTGGCTAATAATATAAAATACAACAATTTAAGCACGCAAAGCTCTTTTTTTAAATAAATAGAAACAAATAATGCATACTTGAAAAATAAAACCTGGCTGCTAGGATAAAAAATCTGCACTTAATATGCATATAAACATAAAATGCAACTACAAATAAACAAATCCACCTACCACCCTACCTGATACGGACTCCATGGAGTCTTCAAGTTCCTTCCGATCTGCAGCTTCAATTATGGGCTCGGTTAGCACTATTACATCGTTAGTTTCTCTCGACTTTGCTTAGGGCGGCAGATTTATTTGTGATTTTTTAAATTTAAATTCAGGGAAGCATTGTGTCAACATATATGGTAATTAGAGCCATGTGAAAGATATATTATTATGACTATAATTCTACGTAATTTTTAGTTTGATAGAATAAATTTATGGTAAGATGTAATTTCTTCAAGCCTTTTGTAGTGCAAGCATAGATTAAAAGTTTTTAACATAAGTTATCACTATGTACCAACATAAAACCTAGTTTTTTTTTTTTTTCTAGTTTTTATTATCTTCCTTGCATTCTTTAATTTCTTGTAATACGTCTGATTGTGTGATTGAATTTTGTCAAATTTGATAAAATCTAATTGCGTTATTTTCAATCAAGTGTATGACTTTTAAGCTTATCAATTTCTATGCATTATTTAAATTAGCTGATTATTGAATTATCATGTGTCAAATTTATATTATTTTTATTAGGGGGATTTATATACATAGCAATTAAAACTTTTCAAATTACATATAACACAAACCTCATTATTTACAATCCTAATACTTAAAACTTTAAACAATATTTAAAATACTACTTCCCATCAAAACTTTGTACGTTGTCTATATCCTATCATGACTTCACAAGCCTAAGCATAGCATTGGTCCGTCACCACCTTCTCACACCGCCAATCTCGAGGAGCAAGGTATCGACGGACTAGCATAAATAAAATTATTTATCTCCCACTATTTAAGGCGAATTAAAGCTAGGGCATTGCTCCTATCCTCCTTGCCTTGCAGCAGCCATCATATCTCTCCCCTATTCTTCCTCTTCCTTGATCACTCACAATTAGCAGCCACCATGCTTTCCTCTTTCTCCTCTCTCATACCTCCATTTCATAGTCATCGTTAGCAAGGAATCTGTGAAACCCATAAGTAAAAGAAGTTAAACTCTTAAATATCGAGACATCTTTTAATGCAGCCGGCTTTCTGCCGAGATCCTCCGCCCAGTAACCTGCAAGAAAGAAACACAGGGCAAGCAAAAAAAACTCCAATCGCCGGGAGATGTATAACCCTGCATATTCAGGGGTTTCGTATTAGCTATCTTCAGTGAGCAAAAACAAAAAGCTGTCTTACTCCCTCATTCCCTCCGGCTATATCAGCCCTCTTTCTCTATTTTGCAAATTAAAATAAAGCTAAGTGAGTAAAGCAATAACTGAAAGTAGAAAAAAGAAGAAGTGGTTGTCAGAATTCTGTTAGGCTAGCATATGATGTTCCGCAGTCTCCCCCAAAGCTTAAATGCACTGCATCATCTTTTGGTGTAATGGTTGAAATTTCATCAAGAAATTTCGCAGTTAAGCTTGCTCATCCCGAAAAAATCCTGAGATGGGTGACCTCCTAAAAGGTTATACCAACAGAACAAATCATGAACCCCTTAGGTCAAAGATGACAATGTCTCGATAGTTAAGAGTTTGAGCTGTTATAGAATCTCTCTCCATCTTCTTTCTCTTTGAGCGAGGTCAAGTCCTCCTCCTTCATTCTCCCTCATCGATCTAGATCATTCATCAAGAGTAAGTTATTATTACTATTATTAGCGATTGTTTGGGTGAATAGATTTGACTGGCGACAATTACACATTCATTGTTCCCTATATATCGGTTGCTCTTATTCATGATAATAGGCTCTCATTCTCAGGGGCGAAACCAGCCTTAATTTTCAAGGGGGGGGCAAACTTATAAGTAATTGTCGGGGGTGCAAAGGGGCAACGCCGCCTGACAGAGTTCAACCTGCCCGATCAGATTGCGGGGTCAAGGGTCAACATTCCTAGGGGGTTTCCGGGGGCAACTAACAAATTTTGGTTGTAAGGATATTTTTGAAATTCAAATTTAAAAATAAAATGATGAATACTCTTTACTATTTGTTTGGAGCAATTGCCTAAAGATCATAGTATTTTAAAAGTTTTAGGGGGAACAATTGCCTAAAAATCTTTGTAATAAAGGGGCAACGCCGCCTGACGGAGTTCAACCTGCCCGATCAGATTGTGGGGTCAAGGGTCAACATTCCTAGGGGGTTTCC